GATTAGAGTTGTGTATTGGCCAAACAGTGATGACTGTGCGCTGTGAGGGCTTAGATGCGGAGCAGGTTATGTTTGCTAGCAGCAGCAGGCTGCATCTCTTTGCTATCAGTCCCTGTGTGCAACTCCACACCGCTAACTGGAGGGGAGGCTGCTTGACATTTCCTCTGAGCAGCGATGCCACATCAGCTTATTTCCTCCTTCTTGTCGTTTCTTATCTTTTCCGTTTATCCTTGATCCCTGTGTCTTTCTGGCTGCCTCATATTTTTGGCCTCTCATCTTCCCTCCTTGCTCGGCTCTCGTCTCTCAGTTTCTCTGTCACTCCTCCGAGGGGAGAGAGAGAGAGACGATGGAGTGTGAAAAAAAAGAAAAAAAGAATACTCTATGCTGTTACCATGGCAACTGCATCTCGGAGCTGAGCCAGTACTCTTCCACAGACATGCGTGCTCCCTCTCTCATTCTCCCTCTGCTTGCCTTACTTAGATTAAAGCTTACCTCTGATGAGAATGAAGAGGAAGAGACAGGAGGAACAAGGGACAACGCTACGCTTGTTATGGAAGAGTAGCGTTTCATAACCCTCCAAGGAAACATTGTGCTTTTCTCTGTGATGAATTATTATTACTGATGGCAGATATCAAAGACAGACATTGTCAGTGAACAGCACACTGTGTACAACAAAGGAAACATGCAGTGTATTCTGCTCTTTAAGGTGCTTTCTTCTCCTCTGCAGAGGTCTCGGTCGCTGGGCTGACACAGGCGATTGTGGGTAATGGTCTGTTACAGGAAATTAATGCATTTGCAGAGCTCTGCTGCCTCGCTCTATAACATCAATCTGTGTTAATTTGGCAATTAATCTGATGTAATGAGAAGATGTCTCAATAAGGGACCACATTTACCACAAACCAACTTTGGATTATGTAATTTGTATTCTCATTTGTGCTCTGGTGTGCGCGTGTCCTCGAAGGGCTTTTTGTCATAATTGGCTGACATGTATCAAAGTCTTTTACGATCAGATCAGAGCAGCAGTAACTATCGATTTAGGTATGGTCGGAAAATGTGTCATGGTTGGTGTGCTCGTTAATGTGTTCAAAACAGAAGTGAAAAATATCCAAGCTGGGGGAACAGAAACGTTAGATCGGAGCTGTTTTCAGGTCATTTCTTGCTGTGAACGCAGCACATCTGAGACTGATGAATGCATTGTGTCATGTAGCCCAGATGGATGTGAATTGAGGAGTGAGCTGGCGGGGCGTGGGGGTGGGCGTCAGCTTCTGTTGACTTGGACAGAATGAGAAAGTGCGCACCTGTAAGGCACACATGGGAGACACTCGTTATTTTCAGCTTGACTGATTCGGACTGGGAGGCGAACGTGATAACAGAGAGGACACGGTGGCGCTGAATGCTCGCTTCCTCCGCCATTAGAAACGCGAAATCCGGATGGAGTTTTTCCTCTCCAATTAGAGAGTTTACTTGGCAGTCATACCCACAGTTCAGCCAGTGAGGGAAAATTGATTTAGCATTTTATTGCTTAGTGCCCAGCTGCATCAGACAGCGAGGGGGAAATGAGGCCCTGAGCAGACATACCACTCCACGCTTCACTTTTGTCCCCATGGAGAGGAATTCATTTCTGTCGTATCACTGTGATTGTAAGTAATGGGACAATTGTGATAGCACAGCAGAGGAAGAGAAGGAGGAGGAGGAGTGAACTGTGAGGAGGGGTGGGTTTCATACTCCTTTAACCACGTGCAATATGTCAAGACCTTACTGGGCTGGGAGTCGGAGGAGGGTTGTGTCTCCTCTGAACCAGAGTGAACCGGTTGTGTTCTTGCCTCCGTTGTTCAGCCATGATCGCCTACAGCCCCCAGGTGCATTATGTTGATGTAATTTGCTGCAGAGAGACTTCCAGGGTCATAAAGAGACTGGATTATATACAAGGTCCCGAGGGAATTCTATAATACACAGGCATTATTCTGATATGCTGTGGTGAGCAGATCCCACTGAGGATATGTTCACACATTACGTGCTTTGTCTTACTTTTATAAAAGGTCAAGGAAGAACACGTTCCAGGGTCAGGCGCGTCTTTTTCTTCTGGTGGTCATGAAAAAAAATCAACCCTGGGTAACAAAAATATCTATCCTCAGGCTTTAAAGGGCTGGTTGATGGGCAGCTTCTTTTTCCTCCTCTCTTGGATAAGTGGCCAAAAATGGACGATATAATCTCAACGGGTGGAGTTTAACAGCAGGAAGTTTTCACAGTATCGTTGACAGCAGTTGTCGGGTTCTTGTGTCTTCAGACTCACAGAGCAAAAGGCTTGTTTTTTTTTTTTTTTCTTTAATTCACCACTTTGCTCTGACATTCAACTAATCTTACAGCGAGAGGCCTATTGTGTGGGAGAGCTGTCGGGTAGATGACAATGTGGTGCACACAATTTGATTTTCATTTTTGCATCATGCACATAAAAGTGCCACAGCCCATGTGGGTTTATAAGACATCAAGATATACAGCTGCAGCGCTGACACAAGACTTGTCAGAGGAGAACATAAATTATTACACAAAAATCTACAGTGTGAACAAAATATTTCTCCTGTGTTGGGTTTCCTGAGTTCTACAAACAATCTCTGACATAGAAAGGTTCCCTTCCTAAAACAACTGTCTTTCATAATAACAAACGCAACAACAAAAACCTACCTGTTCCTATTGCTAGTAGAAACATAATAGTGCACATAAAGGCCTTTACATTATTTGACAAACATGCATATATATATATATATATATATATATATACATTATAAGGAATTGTTTGACATTTAAGGAAATACACTTTTTGCTAAGGAGTTAGATCACAATATTGATACTACTTTAATATCAGTAAATATAAAGCTAAAGCCAGGAAACGGTTAGCTTAGCTTAGCATGAAGACTGGAAACAGGGGGTATCAGCTATAGCCTGGCATCGACCAAAATACCTCTAAAGCCTCAGTTATCCGTCCTTGTGGATGGGCACCCGTACACCCTGCATACACCCTCTCACTCAGACCCTAGCAGACACCCGTATGCTTGTGGATGCTGAAAGAGTAACACTAGCTTAAAGCGCACTAGTTAACACTCCAGGATTTCCAGGAAGTACCTGCTCCCAGCCAAGAAATAGACTTAGATTAAATTAAATTATAGGACAATTTAATTATAGCATTATTTAAATTAGGATAATTACAGGATCAGCTACTTGGTAATAGATAAAGTACTTTAAATTAGCTTCACTTGTACCAGCTACCAGGAACATTAAAGTGATAATCAAACATTAATGTGTCAATAAGTCCCATTAAATATTATATATATTCTTCTGAAACAGCCCATTCTGCATTATGAGTAGTTTTACTTAAAGGAATTAAAGTATATTTTGATGTAATGTACTTATGAATGCAGGACTTTACTTTTCAGAAGTGAAAGATCTGAGTATTTCTTCCACCACATATTTGCTGCCATATATGAGAGTCGTACTGATCTTCTCGTCTAGTAAATGCGAACAAGCATATTTCCCAACTATTCCTGAACTATTACTTTAACAACTATAGCATTTCTCCTCAGTAGTCCAGGGAAGTCTTTGTTAAAAGTGCTAAAAAGTTTCCTCAGATATCTTTAATTTCCTTCTTGCGAGCCTCTGTTTGGACATGCTTACAGTACACACCTCTCTAAACTGACAAAACTGTCTGCTTTCCTCTCTCCCTTCAGCTGTTGTTATTGTTCTATCCACCCACACCTACAGTGTATACTGAAGGTAACAAGTATCAGCTGATTTCCAGGACAATGTAGAAATTGGCAAAGTGAAGTAAAAGCAGATGAAGCACCTGCTCTACACTATAAACATCTTATGCTACGATGTTCTACAGTACATGATATCCATCCAGGCAGTGACGTAGTCCATTGCACCACGGATTGATACAGACCGGAGCATTACAAACACACCCGCTCGAGGATGAGTGATGGGACTTAGTGATAAGTTTTTTTGGTCGAACACCTTAATGATTACAGGAATGCAGTAACAGCCATGAGCGCTGATGGTAGAGCTCATGGCCTCATTCACTAATTCATTTTTTTTGGGTAATCATCATCTTAGTGCCAGAGCTGGTCTCGCTTAAATAGATGATCATTATCCGGCTAAGTGAGGGATTTATAATTAAAGTAAATGTCCTTGACGGCAAGGTGAATTATGTGTGTGGAAACTGTGTGAGTTATATCAAGAAGCTGAAGCGTTCAACATTTGTAAAGGAGGCGATCCTGGCGTTGGTGCTCTTATTGTTTTGGGGTGAGTGCGTTTCATGTTCTGCATTTTGTTTTTCACATGCAGGCTCCAGGTGCAGCTCCTGCGATCAGCTGGGCTCTTTTTGGAGAAAGCCTGTGTTAATGCGTTTGACATGGTATTTTGAGGCGAAGGTTCAATTGAGCAGCAGGCAACTGTGGCGTTGAGGTGACCAAATGGTCACCGGTTCAATTCCCTGGACAGGCAGGGAAAATAAATGTGGGAGGGGGGAAGAGAACGAAGAGCTAAGAAAATGTGTGTGTGTGTGTGTGCTTACTGCTCTTAATGTGTATGTGTGTGTTCACTGCTCATGGATGGTTTAAATGCTAATTTCTGTGCATGTAAAATAGGCTGGGGCATTATCCAAAATGTAATATGTCGATAATATTGAATATCAGGGTGGGGGCAATATGATATAATTATATTATTGTACTGTATGTTTCAGGTATAAGTGATGCTGCCACTAAACAGCAGTTCAAATGAAATGATCTCGGTCTCGGCAGTAGGGCAGACGGAGCAAAACTGCAAAAAATGATAATAAAAATAATGATAAAAAATTTGATATTATGATAAATATTGCATATGGTGGGACTATCGCTATTTTCGATACTATCGAATATTGGCCCAAGCCTAATGTAAAACACTTTCTCTCTCTTCTAATCAGCTGAAACATTTCAAATAATCTTTGCTGTGTTCTTGTCTCCTCTCAGGTTGGTGTTACTTTGTTGAATCGACAGAGGCAAGGCCCCCGAGTCAGAGGTGAAGAGAGCGAGACAGGAGTCCTCCTAGACAACAGGGGGCAGCAGCAGGCATGCAGGACTCCGCCTCAGACAGCAAGATGGCCAAACAGGTCAGCGTGGTCCTGAATGGGCTGATGGATTACACGGCTGTGACACTGTCATACTCTATACTACAACTCACTACAGTAGTTGTCTCCAGGACCATATTTTTCCATTACTACACACACACACACACACACACACACAGATACACACACAAATTGAAGACAATATCAGCCTCGTTCTCACGGCTGGAATATATTGAAGTCGCTGCTGTTGTGTCACATGTGTAAATGCTCGCAGCAGCTTACTCACTTTGGAGACGTAAACATGGATCAGCTGTTTGATAGCCACAGGTATTTAATGAACTCAGGGGGAAAGACTCCAAACTACAAAGAAAACGTTTTAGCAAAACCCAGATTTCTTTCAATGGCACAACGGACATTATGGGTGAGCCTCGTGGATCTAACCTGTCACAGACTCTTGATCGTCTCAATCACATTAAAAGTTGTGTGTTCATTGACATTTCAATTTTGTAATACATGTGAAATGGTAGAGCAGAATAAATGAGGCAAAATTCAACACACGCAAAAGATGCTTTGTCATTGTGGAGAGGTCTCTCTGTGTGCACTAGTGTCAACTAAAGCCATGCAAACACAGCTTTTGCTCTCTCTGTAGCATTTATGGATCAGTGCTGAAATGTGGAAAAACATTTCCTGGGTGTAAACAAAACCTATTTCACATTTAACCATATTTTTTCATGAATGAGTGGCTTTGAGGCCTCTACTTATCTGGCGTGATATTTGCTCAGGAAGTGTGAGACTGTGAGACGGAGCCTGACGGCAGGTGTGTCCCACCAAAAGTGTGAGAACTGGCAACCCTGAAAATGTAAACAGGAAGTCACTGTAGCATCACACGCACCAAAAATAACAGTTTAAGGGGGGCAACATGTTATATTAAGAGTAAGTGAAAACGCTTTGTAAATATAATATTTACATGAACATTGAGAAATATGTGTTAATAATATTGCAGTATAACATGTTATTCTAATTGACACTATTTAGTCATTTAATCTGACTAACAAGATGTTTTGCAATTTATTATTTATTTATTGTATCTGTGAAATGTCATTTAAAACCTTTTCACAGTTTACATTATTACTAAACAGCATTTTATTAAGGTTATTAAGAGTCATGTCGGATATGTCGGCCATATTCCATATTACTCTTTCCTCTTCAGTCTAAAGGAGTCACAGCTTCGTCAGTTGGTTCTGTCAGCGAGCTTCAGTTAGACCTAGAAGTTATTGAATGTAAGTGATTAGTAGCAACTAAGAACTGAGCTTGTAATATCAGTCCAAGTCAGAAGAATAGGGTTGATTTGTTTATATCGCCTTCTTTAAAACAGGCCTTTGGGTCTTGTAGATAATGAGGATGACAACAGAGAGTGTCGACGTTCCACAAGCCTTTGTAACTCAGTACAATCTCTCATTCAGCATTTCTTTCACTGGTCTTTCACAAAAAATGTTGCATGTTCCAGGGATTTACTTTCCATATCCAAAGACAAGGCACCAGCTACTACAGCAGCTACAAGAAACAATGTTAAACAATTATTTTGTGAGCACAGAAAAGGCTCTGAGCCTCTCTTCTGATTGGCTGACTGTTTTCTGAGTAATCTAATAAAGATATAGCAGATGTCAGGTAAACACTCAGAGAAACCAAATCCCGCAAGGTTTGGATGGTGGGTCCAGGTTTGGGGCATAGAGTTTGTGAATACAGGCTGTGTGCATTTCTCTGTGGACTGAGGCTTTGATACTTTCACAGTATTAATATAGAACGTAGACCTGATCTATAATTAATTAATAAAACAACACATGGACATCTACCTTTATACTATATGAGACCTTTAAATGATAGAAATTAAACTAAACTTAATCTCAAGGCACTCTCCTGATCCTGGCACTTAGAAGTATTTTAAGTATTTCAAACATTCTTGCTATTGAAATCCATAACTGTGTCTTTTTTTTATATTTGTATAGGAACTGAACTCCAAGCATCTGGACGAACACAGGGAAACAGATGAAATGTCTGAGAAGACGTCGCCAAACAAGAACCTCAAATCCCCCCAGAAAGGCTCCAAACGACTCAAAACTGCCCCCTTCAAAGTGACCCTGCTGGACTCCTCAGAGTTTGAAGGAGAAATTGAGGTAAGCATAGTGGATAAACAACATTTGTGGGAACACATTTTCTTTTTTAGAATTAACCTTAACATGCTTTAAACAAGCAGTTGAAAAGCAACAGTCCTTTTTCCTTTTTTTCCTTTGTTATTATTTTCCTTTGTGGGCAGTTGTGTGTGTTGTATAGTGCTGCACAGAGCGGATAAAACGGGCAAAGAGGATAAAAGAGAGGGCACCATGCCGAGAGCGCACCAGGAGGGCGAAGCCAAAGCCAAAGAAATGTTACACATTTCTGTAATACACACACAGGCACAAAAAAAAAAAAAATTGTGCAGTATGAAAGTCTTCATTCCACACAAGATATCTGTTGTCATTACTCCAGCAGTGTGAAATAGGACATTCCCCACTCGCTGGGAAAGGAAAGGAAAGGAAACTGAGGGCATGCAGAAGAGAGGACAGAGGAGATAGATATAAGTCTATTGCTTTAGATAAACACATGGGAAGAAGTCTGGGGCTTTGATGACCAGCAGCAGCGTATACCTCTGGTGGAATAAGTCTATCTTCTCCTTCAAAAATACCTTTGGCAGGATTGTGGCTGAAGGAATTCATAACCAATTACTCGACTGCGGAGAATATGCAGCAATATTTTAAGCTACTTTGATTCCTCTCACTGAGAATTTACATGCCCAAATCCAGGACGTGACACAGAGGCTCCATTCATTCCGTACCTGAGATGAGATCTGTCCGGGCCCGTTGGTGTCACCCAGTCAGTGTCACAGTGCAGTACTCTGCCTCTACATTTCTCTGACATGACTGTCTGTCTGATCCAGCATGGGAGAGGAGACTGGGTATTGAACCTTCAAAAGTGCCAGTGGAAATGTTTTTGTAGCATTAAGTATCTAAAATAACACGACAAAATAAGCTACTGCCTCTCAAAATGAGCCGTGTTAGCGTTTTCTGAATTGGCGCCCTTATCAGAAAATACTGCGATATTGTTTGTCTGTGCCTTCCAAAACCATTACGAGTGACAATTACAAGAATGATTAATGTTTCATATGAATACAATATGACTCGTTTGCCACCTTACTGTTAATGTTTGATTACTGCTTGGTTATGGTTAGGGAAAGAGGAAAAGAAACCAGCATGGATGTGAACAGCAACTTTCTGGTGTCAGAGAGTCGGAGATGGAGGCTTTGTGCGCTCCCACTCATCAAGTCGCACCTCCCGCCTAAAAACCTTTGCAGTGTCACAGCATCATGCTTCTTCAACCTGTGCTTCTTAGACAGCTTTCATATCTGCAGGGCCATAAGAGGTCACATGCTGGCAAAAGGTTAAAAAAAAAAAAAAAAAGTAGGTTGTTTTAAAGCAATAGTTTGATTTTCTAGAATCTTTCAGGCTTCAAACAAACGAGCTATAACGTGTTAATTAGTGAGTTTTAAAGGTGCAGATAGACTGATTGTGTTCAACTGCCCCCCCCCCCCCCCCCCCCCCGTTTCCACTGCTTGTGCTGGCTGTGGCTTCATATACTTCATACAAACATGAGAGTGGTATTGATTTTCTTATGTAACTCTTGGCAAGAAAGCAAATAAGTGCATTTGCTAAAATGGAAAAATACTCTTTTGAATTCAAATCAGTGTGCACCAGAATTTTGACAAGTAGCACTAAATGCTGGCTGAGATTCTCTGATCAGATATTTCCAGATCTTAATCAGGAATTTATAAAACAATCTCACCACAAAGTTCATATCGTAGCAGATCAAGGTTGTCATGAATTATAAATGCTGAAAGTTCAGTTTTTTTCTGTGTGATTTAAAGGCTTCTGAAAAGTTGAGATCCAAAGTTTGAATTTGACTTTGGAAACATTTGGGAAGAAAAAAACGTTTTGGACAATTTTTTTTTATTTAAAAGGGCGTCCCAGTGATTTAGCACTTACATTAAAACAGGGGACTCTAAAATGAATTATCAAAATCCATGAAGCGGAGGCTGAGATGTCCCGACTTTCAGTCTCTTGCATGGATCAAACTGCAGAAACACTGAATCCTACATTTGCAGTAATTTAACTCCAAAATTGTCCAAAGTTCCCACAGACTTTCATTTGATTTCACAACCTAGTCGGAGATAAGATAATGATAATACACGGGCACCTTCACAGGTTTTGGAGAGCTCCTCCAGAGCAGAATACATAATACAACTGTTTTGAGAACTGTTCATTGATCTTCATGAGTGCCCACACTGAAATATTAAAGAGTTTGGTATATGTTTTTAAATGAAAAATCTTCAAGTATCAAAAAAGTATTGTTTTTGTAATGAAACTGACACTATTGTTTGGGCATTCATATGAAAAATAAAAAAATGATACTGAGCCCTGGCGATTGGTCACAGGAAGTGTCTTAAGTCCAATAAAAGCCCCCAGCACAGGCCGCTAAGTGGATGTTAGGAAATCTATAGCTATTACATGGTTGCAAGCCAGGTGCAGCCAAGGAGAAAATAGAAGAGCAATGTTATCACGAGGCCATCCCTTAGGATACTTATGCCCAGGTGCATGAAACTTTGTGTGTGTGTGATCAGGGCCGGAAACAGTACTGCAAAATTTTACTCAAGTAAAAGTAAAATGACTTGTGTCACAATGTACTCAGATAAAAGTACAAAGTAAGTCTTTAGGCTTTATACAGGTGTATATGCACAGCTATTTCAATACATATATGCCGTTCCAGCTGAGAACTGCACTGAAATTAACTCATAAATCACAATCCGGCAGTTTGCAGCCTGTGCATACAACAGATTATTACAAATATACACTCAGTTGGCAGTTTATTAGGTACATCTAGCTTAAACAAATTCAGTCTAAACTGTCCTGCAATAAATCCTCCTTCATGAAGGTTATAATGTTCAGTTTTTATTTCAGATTGTTTTACCATACGATCATTTTGGAGGATGTAGTGTGTGTTGCTGCTGAGCTGTATTACATTATACAGAGAGCTGTTTCTGTTATTAAGCCTTTACAAAATGATAGAAACACCTGAATACCTGGTGTCCACAGACTTAAGTAGCAGTATTAAGCTACATAAATCAAATAGATGCTGCTACTTGTAGAATTAACAGCAGAAAAAGCAGAGATCTGTAAACAATGTAAACTCCAGAGCGGCTGTAGCCAACAGAGACAGACAAATCACTATGTTGCTAGGCAACACAGTAGCTGTTGATGCTGTAGAGTGAGTTTCAGCAATCAGTCAACAGTTGCACACACCTGTTTGAATGTCACTCTGAGTCTTGTGCACCTTGAAGTCAGCCACAATCTGCTTTAACTTCTCTGCTCGTTCATTCTCACTGTAAAATATAACCAGCCCGCTCAGCCTCTCTGGTCTCACTGCTGTCCTCCACGTTTGCTGCTGTCACATCGGGGAGCATCAGAGATACACCTCACTGACAGTGGAAGTGAACGCAGAGGTCATAGCTGAAGGATCCACTGTCAGCATTTAGCATTTAGCATTCAGCCAGACCCAGCATGCACCTGTTGGTCACGCAACACGGCAGGTGTGTTTGATTTGGGACACTTGCCGTGGTCGCCAGATGGTGCATTAAATCATCAGAGGAAGCTGATGATTTAATGCACCTGCTGCAGCTGCTGATTTGACTCTTTTCATTGGTTGCGTTCTCACATGGTTAATCATAACTTCATCATGTGACTTGTTTTTACTCTGTAACGAATTCTACTTTAGATGTAGTGACGTAAAAATAAATAAATAAATAAATAAATAAAAAATAAAAAGAACGACTTTGTTCCATTAACAAGAGTTAATGTAACTCGTTACTTCTGCTCCTGTTTGTGGTGTTGTTGGATTCAGGGTGCTTCGTATGTGCGAGTGTGTGTGAGGTAAGAATAACAGGAAAGCTACCTCTCTCTCAGCACTGTAAAAACATCCTGAAGGACCATTGGGCCTTTTCCACACCACATCAATAGTTTGCATTATGGTTATAGAAGCTTTTGTGTCGTAAGTGCTCTTTCTGAATACGTGTCCTCGAAGCACTGCCAGTCATTGCCAGAGAAGGATTTACAAAACAGTCTCTTTTCAGCCCATGTCTTTTTTTTTTTTCTTGAACTAGTTCTAGTATGGTGAGAGCCTCAGACCTCCAGGTCATGGATAGGCCTGCTCCTGCTTCCTGTCTGTAATTGCTGGGGTTGAATTTCATGCCTGCCATATCCGAGCCTCGCTCGTGCCTTCAGGAGCTGGTAATAACAGCGCTGCAAGAAGACAGGCCACACTTTGGGAGTGCTCTCCCCGGAGGAGGTGCTGCATTCATGGGTTAATTAAGTCTCTTGTCATGGATGCATGGCTTAGCGTCCCTGTGGTCCTCGGGCGGGAGGGGAGGCACCACGCCTTTACTCACTTCTCTCACCCAGCCTCCCCCTCTGCTCACTAGGGTGCTATCTGCCTGACTATGCATGGTCAAGCCTGGCTGGGTCGATGTGCAGAACAGAGCTATTTTGGGTGGAATTGAGTGCTTCTTGCTGGTTAGCTGTCTTTTTACACAGGATTCTGTCGTGGAGTTTCCCAAGTGTATTCAGGTGCCAATGCTGAGATCATTATTGTATGGTTAGATATTTAATTGTTCCAGAGCAGAGAGCAAATAGGCCGGATCACCTCAGTCATGAAATATTAAGACATGCTGATTTGTTTATTTAATTTTGCTGGCTGCAGATGATGTCATGAAGTACGCTCTTCCTTTACAATGTAGCTGACTGACAGGAAGAGCTTATAATAATAATACATTTATTCATATAGCACTTCACAAAGTTGCAAAGTGCGTCACAGAAAAATAAACCCTTAGTCACAAGCCTTAACCTTGGGGTTACCAGAGGGCCTTCTTCCACAGATCTCAATTCTTGGTTGGGCACATACCATGTCAGTAAATCTGCGATGTAATTTGGGGCAAGGCCATTTAAAGTCTTAAAAGTCATGAATAAAATGTTCAAATCAATCTGAAATTTAACTGAGATCCAATGTAGGGAGGGAAGCGCCGGAGTAAAACAATTGTACCCCTTATAAATGCTCTCCGAGTGTTGCTCCGCCATCTTTTCACACACAATAAGGCAAAGGTGAAACAATTCTTTAGTCAATATTAGAAACAACATAGCAGAGGGATAATACTGCATCTGTTTCCCTGGCAACTGCTTGCTCCATCTCCCTGTCACCTCACCTAGAGGCTCCAGGAGAGGAGGAACTATGAGTATAGTACTCTGTGTGTGGTTCGGTGTTCGGTCTCAATATTAACATACTTCTTCCTTGTTCAATATTTAACAGTGGCATATGAGCTCATGCATGAATTGATGTTGTGTCAATATTTCATACACTGACAATGCCCATTTTCTGGGCTTGAATCGAACAAAATTGGCTCCTAGTGCAAGTCAGTGTGTCCAGCCACCAGACGTCTTTGAATAAGATTGAAAAGATTTCGGTAGGAGTAATTAATTAAGAGTAATTAATCCAATTACAAGGCAATTAATAATCAATATTAGGGAATGAATTTGCTTAAAGTAAGTTGGTGTTATTTGTTTCTAGATCTCAAGCCTCCACAGAGGCACAACCTGTATGGAGTCTTGCCAAAGAGGTCTGCCACTCGGTCCAGGCAGAAATATGTTAATGGTGATGGATCACTATGAAATTTGGCTCAGACAGATTAAGCTTCCCTTAATCTTCTTCGAGCGTCACCATTGGGGTGACATTTTTGGATTTGAGTCAAATGTTTTGCAAACAATGGTCAGTGATGGTATTCATGGTCCCCAGATGAAGAATCTCAATGACGTTGGTGTCCACCTGACTTTTCCTGTACCAACAGCAGCAGGTCAAAGTTCTCACTTATGTCAAATATCTTGATGTATGACATGGACTAGGACAAAATTTGGTCCACATATCCATGGTCCCCAGAGGATGAATTTGTGTTGCCCTGGCTTTTCACCAAGTATCATCATCAGATCAAAGTTTCAGTTTGTCCAGTAGCAGCAGACATCCCTAACAGTGCTTGATGTACCTTTTTAGTACTAATTAGCAAATGTTAGCATGCTAACACTCTCAAAGCTTTAGCTCAAAGCTCACAGATCTACTACCATGTCTGTAAACTTGTTCATTAACAAAGGACATAGGGAAAATATCACCTTTAGTGACACATTTCAGCAATAATGTCCAAGTTACTCCAGAGTTAGTGCTTTTCCTGTCACGGTTTGAGGTAGGGCTGGACCCAAATGCAGCCAACACAAGGGAGACGGTGAACAAAGGTCTTTTAATTACAAAAAGGGACTTACTTACAGAACTAAAAATCCAAAATAACACAGTAACACAGGAGACAGGAACAGAAGCAGAGGCACGAGGAACACAGGGAACTTCAACAGGTCGCAGACGCATGGGGGACTTGAACAGGTGACACAGGGGACATGAACAGACAAACTGACACTGACAAAGGGAGATTAAATAGACAAAAGGGAGGCAAGGTGATTGAACACAGGTGAAACACATTTGGGTGGGGCACACAATCAATTAGGAGAGACACAGGACAAAGACAAGAAATAAACAAATCATAACACACAAGGAAAATAACTACAAAATAAAACAGGATATGACAAATGACAAAAGTCCAAACTAAATCTCAAACATAAAATGTCCGTCACGGCAACTCATGACATTTTCATGAAGTGTCTACATCATTTTGTCTGTCGGCAAATGTGAAATCATCGCTGTAGATAGTACAATATGTGTTACTGTGGTTGATTTTCATCAGAGTAGGATGTTATGCCTAATGATTATTCTGTGACCATACTCTTTTTTCAGTGTATAATTGAATGGGATGTAAACCATCTTAAACACTATTGTTATCAATGGGATGTAACAGGCTGTAGATAATCCAATCCATGCTCAAAACAAGTCAGAGTAGATTTTAACGTACAGTCAGTAACTTCTGCTGCTAGGGGTCTCTCAATCAAAACAACAGTAAAAGATGGTGTTGGGTGACGTTGTGAAATAGCGTGGGATCATGGGAGTTGTGGTCTTCAGTGTCAGTTGGTTAGGAGATTTTTTGCTGTACATGACTCAAAAATGTATATAACAGAGGTCTAGTCATTTTTAAACATGTGGAAAAGTTACATATTATAACTTAGATATAGTATTATCTCTTACTTAGAAACACTGTTTCACGTTTCATATGACCCATGTTCCAGATGTTAAGATATCCTTAAGTCTTGTTTAAGGCATTTTCAGCACGGTGAGCAAATATTTGTTCATCCTGATGTTAACTAGTTAAAAAAAACACACACACATTGAAAATCTACTTTTGAAAACCTGAACTTGTCACTTGACTGTCAGAGAAAATGTTGCTGTTATGCTCCGTCAGTGGCAGAGAAATCTCGGCCTACAGTACAAAGACCAATCTTCCGCGGCAATTCACAGTCCATTTTCACTGTCAAAGTGTTTGATGCACACTGACTGTGGCACAACACCACATGGTTGAGCTGTTTTAGTGTGTACAGAAGCAGAGAACAAGAAAGCAATCTTGACAAGAACAGCTATCTAAAGGGGTCTTGATATCAGTGAGCCAAATTTCATCCTACAAAACTGAGCTATCCCAGTAGTAGACTCTCATGCATATAAAACAATTCAGAAATACAGTAGAACATTTTCTCTTTCTTTGACATTTTTACCGGTGATGTGTTCTGTATGTTTGTCTTCACAGAAACACTCTAAAGGACAGACCCTGATGGACATGGTGTGTGAGCACCTCAACTTGCTGGAGAAGGACTACTTCGGTCTGACCTTTGCCGACACAGACACCCTGAAGGTCAGTGAATTGTGTACCACAAAAAAATCTTGTGGGATGTTTCAGTGCATAAACACATTACTTGCAGAACAATCTGTATTCCTCTCACTTGTTGGCTGGGCCGGCTCTCTCAGGGGTGCACAATCCATCATTCAAAGATGAATGGAAAATGGAAATTTCCATTTCTCAGTCTGGGCCTGGACAAAAGGCGATTGAAAAGGAGGAAAGAGGAGAAAAGATGAAAAAATGCCTCATCTACTCTTTGCAAGGTGCATATATGAAATTTATTTGCACAAATATTTTTAGAGGCAGAGCTCTTCAGGAGGCAGAAACAATCTCATTGGTTGAATTAAACCTCTGTGGCCTGAAGACAAGAGCCGCAGTTTATCAGGAAAATTTAAATAGATAAGAAGAAAAGTTTGGTCAAAATGACATCAGTGACTTCTTTTCATTTTTTTTTCATAACCATGGCTAGCTTACTAGTTTACCTTTAGCCTACAGCTACACGTAAGGTTTAACATTAAGATCAGCCAGAACTGCATGTTTTGTTATAACTATTTTTATTTTTATTATAATTATTTCTGCCCACCTACTTTAATTGGTTACTTTCTTCTCAAAAGTTACAAAATAAGGCTTGTAGGGAATCTGACCATCCTTTGACCAATGAGCTCGCTCCCCGTCATTTGTGATAACCTGCGTGAGTGGATGTCAACTTGTGAGTCTTCCTCAGCAAATGGACAGTTAAGTTAGCAGAATAATGTTGAGCAAGTCCAACTTGGAGTGCCTCCTTCGACATGTCATAATTTTGTTAAAATAAAAATATTGATTAGTACAGCTTTAAAATCATCAACCGCAGCATATCTTTAAAGAAACAATGTCTTTTTTACCTCCCGTAACCTGGACTTTCTATTCTTAACTGAGACATGGTCTGGTGAAGGTGATACAGCCACTTTTAACGAACTGTGTCCACCAAACTGTTCTTTCATCAGCACCCATAGGTGTAGTGGCAGAGGGGGCGGAGTGGCTGTGGTCTTCAAGAGTCAGTTTAAATTAAAGACACTTTCATTCTGGAGTCACTCCACATTTGAATCACAGTCTCTAAAAATTGAATCCATCTCCACACCACTAGTCTGTGTACTAGTCTATAGAGAACCCAAGACAGATAAAGACTTCATATCTGGATTCTCTGAACTCCTGTTTAGTATTGTCCCATTGTACGACAGATTGTTAATCCTGGGTGATTTTAATACCCATGTGTGCTGCCCAGGCAAACCTATGGCAAACAAATTCAAACATGTCCTGGACTCTTTTGGCCTTATCCAGCATGTAACTAGAGCCACCCATGTACTAGGGCATACACTTGACCTCATTATGTGATGTGGCCTCACTATCGACAAACTCATCATCGAAGAGGCGTGCTTCTCCGATCATAAACCAATCGTTTTCAGTGTCACCCTATCAGGTCCGGCTTAGTGTCAAAACATCTGGCTACTCACGCCATATAAACTCTCTCACTGCACCTTGCCGAAGCATATCAAAGAAAGGCCATCACAGCCTCCATCTCTTCTACTGCACAGCCTCCTCTGAGCCCAGATAAATCAATCTCCCTCTTCCCCTCCCTCTGCTCAGCCCGCTCCCTCAGGCAGGCCTGTCGTGAAGCTGAACCGAGATGGAAAAAAAGATCACCTCTCAGTCTCACTGGAAATATTTAAAAACTGTCTTGCCAATTTTTGATCAGCACTGTTAATTCTATCCTCACTCACTGCATCTCCCACAACATTGACGCCTCTGCAAGCTCTTGTGAAAAGTTTTCAAAGTTTTTCACAGAAAAAAATTGGAAACAACAGATCACTTTTCTCTCCCTCTCCCTTCGACACCCGCCTCCTTGTCCAGGTGATCTAGCCTACAGGTTACTCTGCCCGGATTGAGAAATACTGTTATGAAAACATGAAGCTCACTAACTCTCCCCATGATGTTGTGCTCCCCGCGCAGCATAAAGGATGCCTTCGACACAATTAGCCCTAGTGTTCAAGCCATTATCAACTCCCCCTTAACCTCTGGCACCGTACCCACATGTTTTAAACATGCGGTTGTCCAGCCTCGGCTCAAAAACCATAATCTTGATGCTGAATGTTTAAATAGCTGTTGGCCCATTTCTAGACTGCCTTTTATCTCAAATTTACTGGAACAAATTGTTCTGTCACTACTGCACTCATTTCTGAATACTAACAATATCTTAGATCCATTCCAATCAGGGTTCAAAGCCCTCCACAGCACAGGAAGAGCTTTGTTAAAGGTGACCAATGACCTACTGCTCACTGTTGACTCTGGGAAAAACGCCATCCTCATTTTACTAGACCTTGCTACCTTCTATACAGTTGACCATGACATCCTTTTATAACACGTCTAGAACAGTGGGTTGGTATTAAGGGTACCGCTATAAAACGGTTTGGATCCTACCTCAAACACAGGACATTTTCAGTGGCTATAGACCAGTTCTCCTCCTCCTCTGACCCTGTCACCAGTGGGGTTCCCCAGGAAACCATCCAGGGGCCAGCCCTATTCAGCCTATACATGCTGCCCCTTGGAAACATCGTCAGGAAACAAAACATCTTGTGCTATTTCTGTGCTGACGATAAACAGCTTTACCTCCCACTAAAATCTACAGACTCCCTTCAAGCTTTCCTGGACTGCTTCAAGGACATCAAGGCCTGAATGGCGAAAAACACCCTTCAGTTAAACAGTAACAAAACTGAAGTACTTATATTTGGCCCCTCTAAATCCAGAACCCAACTCGCAAGCAAGCTTGACTCCCTCATCCCATATGTGAAGCATCATGCTAAAAACCTGGGTTTAGCCCTTGATTCCGATCTCTGCCTTGACAAACATATCACCTCTGTTGTTGAAAGTAGTTACTTCCAATTAAGAACCCTCTCCAAACTGAAGCCGATTCTGTCCTTCAATGACCTGGAAAAAGTATTCCACGCCTTTATCACTTCTCGACTGAACTATTGCAACTCTCTGTATTTAAGCTTTCATCAAACTTCACTTTCCTGCTTACAGTTGGTCCAGAATGCAGCTGCTCGGATGTTGACTGGTACTAAAAAACACAAGCACATCACCCCAGTTTTAGCCTCCCTTCACTGGATTCCTGTTGCTTTCAATTCAAGACCCTGCTGATTACCTTTTAGGCTCTCAATGGTCAGGCCCCACCTCACATCTCAGATCTCATCCGCTCCTAGATCTCTCAGATGTCAAAGTTCAATCCCTTCTACATGTCCAGCGAGAGCTTTTGCCTGCCACCTGATATAGGATGTGCTCCTTCCATCTCCAATCTAGGTTGAAGATTCACTAGACTTTTAGCTCACTAACTCGTCCATTGTCGTGGTCATATTGAGCACTTTTTTCTTGTTGTCTACTTGTTTGTGTTATTATACTTATATGTCTCTTACGTACTGTATACATTTGTTTACCTTCTTATTTGATTTATTTTAATTGCCATTTGTACAGCTTTTCTCAGCTCAAGCTGTGTTTAAATATGCTATAGAAATAAAGTTGACTTGACTTGACTTGATTACTCTGGAAATCCACAGTCCTGACTTTGAACAGTATTCACCGGAAATACTTTCTACTATAGAAATATTCCTTTATGAAAACTGATGACCGTTCAGAAACAGATATCTCAACATCTGGATAGATAAAGATAGATACTACTACTGGTTTGCTGAAATTACTCTTTAAGCTTCCTCCTTTTTCAACTTAAGTGTGTTTCCTGGTCCAACTTTAATTGGTCAGAAAAAAATGTTATTCTTTGTTTCTTTTGCTGTGTCCTCTGAGGTTTAATTATTTCTGCTCCTGATGAATGTGTACATACATTACACTGCAATCAGCTCATTTCAAATAGAATGTCTAAATATGTCTCCCTCTGATCTTTGTTGATTCGTTATCAAGTGCACAGACCAGACTTATTACCATATAATCATGTGATTGACACTGAACTGGTGGGTCCTAGCTGTCGGCTCACATGAGAGCTCTTTGCTGGATGTGTGTTTTGGGCTTTGATTGATGCGAGTCTCCCTGAGGGCAGGTATGTGGTTCCACAACAGGCTACAGAGGAGCCTCCTGCCTTTTGAATGTAGGAAAGATGACAAGACTAAGTCTCTTTTAACATCTGGAGCATATTTTCTGTCACCATCATCAGCTTGTGCACGCTTTGTCAGGTCACATGTTGTGACTTGATATGCTTTTGGCGGCCGAGGCTTTGGATTGAGCATAATCTCGGGCCCATACGGACCGGTTAACTGGTGCGTTTGAGAGATAAACAGACTTGAACTTCATATATTTTTCCTCTCTCTGAGTGTAGGTGAGGCTACAGCTTAGATCAATATGTCAGGCTCATCAAAGACAGGCTTATCAGAGCACAGCTTGTGCCTACTGTCTGGGGTCATCGCTGATTGGTAGACCAAACAAGCCTGAGAATTGAAATGTCATTTCAGATGCCCTTTCTCTGTCTCAGTTGAGGGAACGGGGATTTAATCTTTCCTCTTCAGGAGAACATTTATTCGCTGTGATTTCTTTATGAACTGAGGTTGCAAAAGCATGAGTGAACGGACAGTGATTAAAAGTTCCTCCTGCTTTTGTGCAGAGAAAAGCAAAGCAGCAGAGAGCGCCTTCCTAATTGAGTGCTCTTTTGGCCTTGGCTGATATAAGATAGATTCAGGGGGGCGATAAATGCCTGCGGCTCATTAAAGTCTTTAGCAGCCTGATTAAACACTGCTAGGAGTATGTGTGTTTGTGATTGTGTGTGTGTGTGCGTGTGTGTGTGTGTGCATGTGAAGGCACAGTTCAGATTGCCAGAACTGCTTGCAGTTTGCCCAACGGGGGCAGAGGATTGCACTGTGCTGTATCAACCTTTCATACTCCTCGATTCCACTCTGACTGATGTGATCCCAGCTGCCAAAAACACTGTCAGCTTTAATAAGCAGCTGCTGTGTGGTATTCAGGTTAGTGGAGATCACCGTCAGCTCTCTGCACAGAACTATGCTGCAAACACCTGTTTATGTTTGTGTATGTGCAAGGATCAAAGTAACAAATGATATCAACTCCCATTATTGTAAGTGAGTAACCTGCTTTGTCTTTTTGCTCATGTGTTTTAATTAGATGTACAGATGAGTGACAAAGAAGAGGAAAAAGATGAATAAATGAGTGCAGTCATAACAAATGCAGATGCCTTCATGCAGGGAGCAAGGGCTGAATGGTTTGAGAGGGAAAGTGAGTGACATGTTAGTTTTGTGTTCAGACAGGGGTCTTTCTGGTTGTCTCCAGTATGGAAATATTTTGATTTCATGGATAATTTATAGAGGAGCGTGAGGAGACAGTGCGGATCGAGGTATTTCTACGTGTGCCAAGTAAACACTTTGAACACAGTTGCCTTCAACAAGGCTTCATCTATCCATTGCTAATGACCTTCATAGGCTCCAGATCTCAACAACTGAACACCTGTGGGAGATTTTGGAATAATGGGTTAGACAGCGCTCTCCATCATCACCATCATCATCATCATCATCATCATCATCATCATCAAAACACTAAATGAGATAATATTTTATGGTTGAATGTTGTTCACCCCTTCAGTAGAGTTCAGAGAATCTGTGACAAGGAAGCGATGAAGCTGTTTTGGAGGATGAGAAACTTAATGTTTATTTTGACCAACATAACTTTGGTCCTGCATGAAATATCTAAGCAACTCTTACTCATGCATGGAAGCCGACAACAACGCACTCTGACTTTGGTGATCCTTATTTTTCATCCAGGAGGTCAAAGTGAAGCATCTCCACATCTTCTTTATGAATTGGCATAAAAGTCTGTACAGACAGTCATGGTTCATAAACAATGTATCCCAAAGAGTTGGGTGAGCCCCTGACCTCTTCCTCAACCATGTGGTTGACATTTGTGGTTTTGCGTGAAATATTTGCACATTTATTGCAACAGGTTGCAATGAAATTATTGTAATGACTTGACTTTTCATCTTGCACCGTCATCAGTTAAACCAAAGTGAAACCAAACCATTCATCAGCTGTGCTGTGTTTTGGCAGAGAAGGTTAACATGCTGACACACCAGCCTAAGATGGTGAACATGTTAGCATTGGCTCTGTTCAGTCCTGGTATTAACATGTGTCTCACGTGATCTGATCATAAGTGGACAGCTGTACAGGTGTGAATGCACCCGTGACGCATTGAGGACGCATTTGAGATCCGATCACTCAGACCACAATTGGTGCTGGTCTGGGCCACATGTGGCCACATTCTTTGAGCAGTGTGAATGAGGACATTTGCGTTGAAGTCCTCTGACACATTTTCATAATAACCAATGATATTTTTACACGTGTCACTGTGTTTCCTTTACATCGATTTATTTACGGCTGCCACAATATCAACAGTGCGTGTGTGTCGCCTCTCTCTCTCTCTCTCTCTCTCTCTCTCTCTCTCTCTCTGTCTCTCTCTCACAAACACACACAACCACTGGCAGATGGGACCTCTTCACATCTGATCCAATCACACTTTGAATATATCAGATCTTAGGATTAATTGGTAACTGTTAAGGTACTGCTAAGGGTCAGAAGAAAATAATCAATTGCTACTTTACAGTGATCGGAAGAGGCTGTCATTTCTCTCAACCTGGAGTATATTACAGATAAACAGGGCATGTGAGGTATCACAGGAAACCAGTAGTGTAATAAGAGGATGAATAGGCAGTGGGAGATTCCATGGAAACCCATGAACCTCGAGAGAGGTCGAAGAGTGAGGCTGAGCCTGTGAAAGAACAACATGGATGATTAAGGGTCTATTGTAGAAAAAAAAAACTTGAACTTATAAACACAATTTTAGCAGGGTAAGAATACTTAGTCACTCCGTTGCTGTGGGTGTGTTGCTGAGCCCCCAAACAACATGATTTACAGCTGCCGTTACAACAGAGTCAATGTCCACTGCACCACTGATGAGACAACCAAATCAGAAACGGGTGGGGGTGTCCCTACAGGTGAAGCACTTCACTGCGCTCTCTTAATGAGATCAGATAGGTAACTGTCTGCTGGTGGTTTAGCGACACAATGAAGAAACAGATGCTTGGATTAAATCTTCTCTCAGCACGTTTTGAGCGGCTCAGCAGGGGCAGGCTCAGTTTCTTTATTTAAGCATATGGAGAGGGTTTCATTAGGAGCACAACACAGCAATTAGAGCAAAATGTGACCCCCCCCCTGCATGTGCATTAGCCATGTTTCCAGTCTGCCATGTGTGAATTCTGCCTTCTGTCTTCCAGAACTGGTTGGACCCCTCCAAGGAGATCAAGAAGCAGATGCGCAGTGAGTGTCTTTTCCAAGTCGCTGAGATGATAAATATTTAAAATTTCAATTAGTAAAGTTGTTAATTAGATTTGTTGGCATGTGAATCGATGCAAAGTTATGTGTTGACCTGTTGGATACAATTTCATCATTGACTTGTAATTATAATTTATCCCAAGACAAACATGATGTTCATCCTTCCATCTCTCCGCAGACTCTCAGTGGAACTTTGCCTTCGCTGTCAAGTTCTACCCTCCAGACCCCTCCCAGCTCACTGAGGATATTACCAGGTACAATACACACACACACACACACACACACACACTGACAGTATCAGCAGCTGTAGCTCCTCTGGCTGTGCTGTCAGATGCTCCTCAGAGTTAATCAAACCAGAAATTGCGCACACATGTCACTTTCACAGATGATTTGCCTTTTTCATTTTCCTAAAGATAAGTGTTTACATGAAAGTATTGTAACAATTTACATGGCATATTTGCCCCGGTGTCAAAGCAACCCAAATCCCTCTCTCCTCTTTAAGGATTAGACCTGGAATGCTACTAAATGCCATGGATTAACTATGCTGAATACTTGTTGGAGCTTGCCTTGGCTCAGGCTTGTTTGACTGCCAACACCCTCCTCCCCTTTTGTCTCGTCTGACAGATACTACCTGTGTCTGCAGCTGAGGGATGACATGCTGTCAGGTCGGCTGCCGTGCTCGTTCGTCACTCACGCCCTCTTGGGCTCCTACACCGTTCAAGCCGAGCTGGGAGACTACGACCAGGATGACCACGGCTCTGACTACGTCAGCGATTTCCGCTTCGCCCCAAATCAGACCCGCGAGCTGGAGGAGAGGGTGATGGAGCTCCATCGAAACTACAAGTACTGGACATATTGTTGTTTAAATCAGACCTTCATCTGTCCACAAATCTCCTGGGATGATGAGTTTTCCGCTGTGTCGAAACACTCCCATCATGCATATGGATGATAGATGCCGCCACATTACCGCGCCATCTGTCATTGAGACTTACACAGTGCCAGTCTTGCCAGTGTGGGAACATTTATTCACTTAGAGGATCTTCACCATGCTCTGATTTGGGTTTGCTTTTTGGCATACGACCAAATAAGGCTCGGGTTGCAAGGAATTTAGACGTGAATATATTAAGTACATTAGCAAGATAACTCTGCTCCCACTGTGCAAGATTACGGGCTTATTATTTAAGACAGCGTGTTGATGTTGGTTACTGATATTATTGTTATTCTGCCCTCAGGGGGATGACTCCCGCAGAGGCTGAAATTAACTTCTTGGAGAATGCGAAGAAACTGTCCATGTACGGTGTGGACCTCCATCATGCTAAGGTTGGCTCCTCCTATAGCTAGTTTTAATTTGAATGAAAGTACAGTAGGTTTTGAGGATGCATACAGTGCTGCTAATAGATGATTTCTGCCGCCATGCTGTCCTCTGTGCAGGATTCTGAAGGGATTGACATAATGCTGGGTGTCTGTGCCAATGGCCTGCTGATCTACCGTGACAGACTGAGGATCAACCGCTTTGCCTGGCCAAAGATCCTCAAGATCTCTTACAAGAGGAGCAACTTTTACATCAAAATACGACCTGGAGAGGTAGACGGCATGGTGAAGGATAATTAAAGTGGCACTCTATCGATTTCACACATTAAAATCCATTTGCTACTAATGGTTAGTGCTGCTCAACAAAAAACAGATGTTCTATGCCGTCTGTTGTTTTGAAGGAGCTTTATCAGGTCTGAGAAAATAACCCGGATGTTCATAGTGATGATGATGACAGTCATGTCATCGAGGTTATCTGGGCTTGGGCAAATTTATAACAGAAAGCCTGCAGTACAGACTGTGGGTATGGGGTTTGAAGGACGTGTGTTAACTGAAAGTCAGGATATCTTGGCCTCTGACTCAACTACTTTTTTTTTTAAATCTGTCTCTTGCTAGTTGCCCAACTTTCTTGAAATTTAATACTAAAGCACTGGTGTAGTGTCTCAAACGGATAGTTGGATATTTTGGGGAAATATGCTTGTTTGTTTTCTTGCTGAGAGTTAAACAAGAAGATTGATATCACTCTCATTCCTGTACAGTAAATATGAAGCTACAGCCAGCAGGTAGTTAGCTTAGCTTAGAATTGTAAAGACAACAAGTTGTGGGCTTCCTGGATTGTCCACTGGTTGCCTGGCAACCTCACAGTGATGACTCTAGGGAATCACAACCATGGATTCATATATTAATTAAAGGTCCCATATAGTATAAAGGCAGATGTCCATGTGTTGTTTGATGATAAAGCAGGTCTAGCTTCTCCCTTAATACTGTGAAATTATCAAAGTGCTCAGTCCACAGAGAAATGAATGAGCCATCAGGACCTCTGTAACTTTGTGATGTCACAACAAAACAGTCACCGCTCTCAGCCATGCCCCAAGCCCCACCCACCTGGACCCACCATCCAACCTTGCAGGATTTGGTTTCTCTGAGTGTTTACCTGAAATTTTGTTTTCTATTTGATCAGTAAGAAAACAGTCAGAAGAGAGGCTCAGAGCCTCCTCTCTTCTGATAGGCTGAGTGACCTGTTGTTACTAGAGCTCCAGAGAGAAGCCTGAGAGAGGAGATGTGAAACTACACTGAGATGATTTTTGGTTCTTAAAACCAAAAATATATCTTCTTTTAGAGCAACACTTCAAACAAAACACAGGAAAAGTGTCAAATATGGGACCTTTAACGTTAGTCAGTGAGCTTTAGATGGCAGGCAGGCAGATTTTGTGTGGAATGAGGCTAGCTGTTTCCCTCTGTTTTTAGTCTTTATGCTAAGCTAAGCATCTCCTGTCTCCAGCTGCAAAGTTAATGTACAGGCCTGAGAGAGATATCAGTCCTCATATTATTTATTTCCCAAACTATTGAAATATTCCTCAAAGCCATGACCTCACATTTTGAATACAACAGTAGCTAATGTTCTGTCACAGCTTTTATTGTAAAAAGAAAATGAATGTGTGGTCAGTAACTCTGAGTAGAAGACTGTAAATCCTCCAGCTTTATACCTCCAACCTCGCTCCTCTGCACAGTCAGGATATACAGTATATTCTCGCCCTCCTCATTGTGCTGTGCAGAGCTGCAGCTTATCCTCCATGCTGAGCCTCAGTGTGACAGGCTGTCTGGGCCAGACCCAGTCAAGTGACAGAGCCGCACAGTGAGCCTGTGATCAAGCCAAATAAAGAGCCCCTTTAACAGAGCTGCTGCAGCTGCAGCCAGAATAGAGGGATAAAGAGTGTAAATATAGAGCCATGAAATAGTTTTCCTCCCAATTGCTCCTAGTGTCTGAATATTGGATGTTATCCCTCCTCTGCCTTGATCTGCTCTTTTTGTCCAGTTGGCAAAATCCATGTTGTAACATTCTAAATGTCTTTGTTTATGTATTCACATGTATATATTGTGGCAGCTGTGTTAATGCAAGCACAAAGTAAAGGCTGTTATATTGATTGGGTTCAAGTGTTCATGCAGGACTGAGATGTAGCGAATTCACTGCAGTTTTTATGAATGTATTAGGTTGCCCTAAACGTTAGTCCACCGAGAAGTACTCAGGCGAACTTCAGCAGAAACAGAGTAAATAGATCTGGTGCTGTAAACCTCCCTCCCCTTTTTTTTTCACACTTCCCTCCGTCTCTTTGTTCTCTCTCCCCTTCTAGTATGAGCAGTTTGAAAGTACAATTGGTTTTAAGCTTCCGAACCACAGAGCTGCCAAGAGGCTGTGGAAGGTCTGCATCGAGCATCACACCTTCTTCCGGTAAGGATCGATCTGCTCTCATGGTTGGAAGGTTTTCCGTTCAATGCGTATCAAGGCAAATACAAACACTTCCATGTGTACACCTTCATGAGCTGTAACCAAACTCAGTTTATTGCACAGTGCTTTGTTAAACATGCAGTAGACTGACTCACTGGATGTAGACTGTGGGTATAAGCCTGATGTTGGCTGCAAGTCTCACATGGAATTCTCCTTCCCTTCATCTATCTGCCTGTTACAGTTTTCAAAATCCCCTTCGCTACAGGAAACAACAACAACCTATGCCAACAACCAAAGTTGACATACATCTTTTACTGCACTGTTTTGTGGCATTTTGTTTCTGGGGAAGTAGCAGTTTTAATGATAGTGCTCAAGCGCTTGGGCTGAAAAACAAAGCCAACACTGAAGAGACAAAAACAAAAACTGCAGTTCTTTGAATGGCCTCTGGAGTCTGGCTCCAAAAGTGAGTCAATCCCCAGAGACTCCCATGTTGAAATGTCCAACTTTACAGCAGAAATAAACATGTTTACAGCCTGGTACAAAAACAGTTTTTGTCCTCCTTCATGTCTGTACTGGGATGAATTTTTATACATTTATATTGATTAGCTCAGAGTTCAGCTCACCCACAGGCTCTTTAGAAACCTGTGGGTGACGTCCATCTTTATTTTTAGTCTATGTGCTCGCCTCCCCACATGCAAATGTTCCACCAAAACACAACACTATTTTTCAGGGGCACCGTTTCTGCATCCTGGGCTAAGACGATTGTGATTGGTTTAAAGAAATACAAGCAAGTCAGACTGTTTTTTTTCCCCATAAAGCAGAATGATAATAGTTGCAGACGGACCATTGTTCAGCGCTGTGGAGATAGGTCTGGCTATGAGTGACTTAACATGTAGTCAAGTCTCTACAGCTCAGATTACTTTCAAGGCCACCTTAGACTTTTATTGGTGATCCCGATTCAGCTTTACAGCACTATACAGGAGATGACATTTCACACTTGCAACGACTGAATGATAATACTCACTATGTAGCTGGCCATGCAAGAGACTCTGTTTAAACAAAAGATTTAGATTAAGCTGCACTTTTATACCTGATGAATATATCTACTCTAAACCACAAGTTAAATCTTGATCAGTTATCATGTGGCCAAAAAACAGCTCGTCAAAGATAGTTCGAATGTGACGGGAGCAAATACAAAACAGACGTAAAAAATACACCCTCAGAAGTTAGCTTGAAATCCACTTTCAGTGTAACGCAGTGGAAACTGTTCTCCAATTCCAGTGTTCACTCTACCGTCTTTTTTTGCTCTATGGCACAGTGTGTTGTCAAGCATGTTCACCACTACCATTCTTGTGTCCACAGGCTGGTGTCTCCAGAGCCTCCTCCTAAGGGCTTCTTGGTGATGGGTTCAAAGTTTCGATACAGTGGAAGGACACAGGCTCAAACCAGACAGGCCAGTGCGCTTATAGACCGACCTGCTCCGCACTTTGAGCGCTCCACCAGCAAGAGGTACCTGCTGTCCAGGAGCTTGGACGGAGGTGAGAGCCACGGTAGTGCCTCGATAGATCTGCACATGGAGGGTCTGGAGTCTTTTTTTTTTTTTAACTTGTATTCATTTCCAAAGCTGAAATTTTGATACTTTAGGATATTTAGATAAATGTTTAGCTTATCTTAGCATAAAGACTGGAAGCATGGGAAACAAGCTAGTTTGGGTCAGGCCGACATCCACTTACCAAAGGGATGGTTTTACTTGGCGCAGGAAGTCACAGCCAAAAATAGTCCTGCACATGCACTGTTACATTTTGGTTTTTGTCTTTGGAGAAGCTGTTTCTGTTACCTACCTCCAGTATCTATGCTAAGCTAAGCTAACCAACTGAAGTTTCATATTGAAAAGACAAGAAAGACAACGATCATATTCCCCAGAATGTCAAACTATTACTTTATAAGCCCGCATCAGATGAACTCATCTGATTTGTCTCCTGTCATAATTCAACTCTTGTTACCTGCAGAGTTTTCGCGACCCGTCTCTGCCATGTGTGAGAACCACGACAGCCTGTCCCACCGCAGCATCAGTGAACAGCGCCGTCTCCACAGCCCGTCTGTGGACGAGCAGGAGACCGAGCTGGAGCCCAGTTTGGAGCAGGACGAGGAGGACAAGGACCAAGAGCCGGGCCAGGAGTCGGAGCAGGACAGAGACGAGGACGGCAATGTCACTCCAAGCAGAAAGAAAGAGATCATGGTACTGAAGATTTCCTGACAGAAACTTTTTATGAATTTCCATTAAGCTAAAGTTTGTTAAAGTTATGGAAAGTCCAAATATATAGAGCTTCTGTCAACTTGAAGAGGACTCTGACCTTGGTACAGGTAAATCTGGGACTTGCAGCGGAGCTAATGTAAATAGGTGCAGTGCAAGCTTCTCAGGACAATTGAAGCTTATCCAACAGGGGCATAACGCTGTGGTGGCTTTGGTGGATTTAGCATTTACTAACTCTTCTCCTTTCACTCCTATTCACTCAGGCTTACATGCTTACACTGCACTGCTCATAAATCCAGCTAACAGCTTTACAGTTTTTAACCCTTCGTCATTATGCTGAGAGATGCAAACTCAAGCTGAGCCTGGGTTGCTAACATGCTTTTTTGTTTTTTTGTTGTTTTTTTTTTTACTCTTGCTGGCGATCAGGAGGAGGCTGGGTCACCAGTTGACAGTAAACAGGAGGTATTTGGTCTGGTGATTTGGTCTCTATCTGTCTGTATACCTGTCTATGTCTGTCCATCTTTTATTCTTTCTTTGTCTGTCACTGCCTGTCTTCCACTGGGTTTGTCTCTTTTACTGTGGCTGTCGACTCAGGTATCACTGAAAAAGCTCTACTGCATTGCACCTCTGGACTTACTCTCCATTATATGATAAAAGGAAAAAAAATCCTAGTAAAGCCTTCGAAATACAGTCACCTCAACTTTTATTTTGGTAGCATATTTGCATGTCATATCATTATCTATGTAAGTCCAAAATGTCTACTGGGATGTATTTTCAAATTGTCTTTGCATGGTATCAAATGTAGCCTTGCAGTCTGTCTGCCTGCCTCCCTTACTGACTTACCTTCTACCATCCTGTCTCTGCACCTGACCTTGTTCCCGCACTCTCTGACCCCTCTCGTGCCTGCCCGTTCTCCTGCCCCAACTCAGCTCTCTCAGTTGGACCAGGAGGCCACTCCTCGGCACAAACAGGAGGTACAGGTTCCTGTCTTCGGCTCTTGGGCTTTTTGTCGTTGTGTGCAGTTCTTCCTCTGCACCTGTAGCCTTCAGAGGCTTTTACAGATTGAGATTTTCCTGCCTTGGATCAAGGGAAGTTTTTGTGTTTCTTTTGAAATGTCACAGGAATTTAAAACGTCTGGCAGCTATGAGCACAGAATAGTTTAAAGTTTGGCTTTGAAAGTCTCCGGTGAAATTTCTCCCTGTTGTAGATAAGAGCCCCTATCCTTCTATCCTTCCTGTAAAGCATCATCGCATGTTCTTCACTATTCTGAAATATTCTGCTCTGTCCAGTTGTGGAAGAAGAACCAATTACAAGTAAACGTACCAGTAAAATGTGCTCAAAGTATCAAAGTTAACTGTGACGAAAACATTATGTTCAGTGTGAATCTGAATCTGTCTGCCTCTGGTTAACATTCGGCCGACTTCCATGTACCACTTGATGTTGAAAAATGCAGCTGAGCAGCAGTATTCACCATGTCTGCTACACAAATTGGGGGTTTGTGACCAAACCAGAGAAATGAAGAACATTAGAGTTCAGCCTTTATTATAATGTGGATGTTCTACCCAGACATTTTTATTTTATCTTCTGTATGGCTTTATGCAAATAAATCGGCTCATAAAACAACATTTTCAAGATGGATTATAGAAAAACTACTATAGATATTAACAATAATGAAGCTTGAAAATGTGCGTTGCTTATTATCTTATGGCTAAAACATAGATAGTGCACTAAAATGAACCAGTTGACTGCATTGTTGCTGTGTCATCTAAAGTCTCTGAAAACCTACTATATCCGTTAAGTTTATACTATAAGCTATTATATTATGTCAAAGCTCTTCCCATTGGTTTGTGGGCAGGACAGTTGATGTCAAATATTCCTTTGCACCTGTAGGATATAGTAACATGTGAATTAAAATTTAATGTTAAACTCTTAAAAAACTATAAATAAAGATGTTTTTAACTTTGCACAATTAGTAATGATTATTTAATATTATGGAGATATACTTCATTTGATTTGAAACCATGTTTTCAGGACCTTTAAGACACTCATTTTATATAACAACCTTACATTGTTAGTGTAGATGCATCATTAATGTTGCAATGCATTGTATTTTATAAGCTTATTTAATATTTTTTAATATAAAACCCAGTGTGAAAAATAACTACAGATAAATGTAGTCGAATAAAAAGTGCAGAATTTCCCTTTGACACATGTGGAGTGGCAACATTACAAGTAGTACAGTACTTGAGTAAATGTATTTATTTACTTTGCACCACTGACTGTCCAAAAACAAACAAACAAACAAATAAACAAAAATAAATGCAGAATATCAAGTAATTCAGTTGTAAGTACGGTTATTTGTCTGTGAGTATAAGCTAGTGATGCACAGATCGCAATTATATCTGTGGCCGGGTCATAAAAATTAACATGCGGGCGGGTGCAATCATATATAATGTATGAGGGAATAATAAATTACATTTTCCACATATGTTAAGCTTCATTTTTCATCAGGCACAAATTCATCTTTGTGTTTGGACTGCAGCACTCATTATGATTTATTATTTATTTTGGACGGCGGCCAAATGTTATTATGAGCTTTTAAATAGTTTGTGTTCAGGAAGTAGCAGCGACATTCAGAATTTAAATGTCAGTCTGTGTTCAGGCTGCTGTGGAAACACTTGTCCCCATTTTCATTTTACCAAAAAAAGAGAACTTTTACTTTAAATGAATGTTTATTTAATTCAAACCAGCCTACTTCAGCGTAATATGTCACCGTCATCATGTGTGGTATCCCACTGAGAAGTCATGGTAACTTGTGATCAGGTGTGGATCTCTACATCGTGGAAAATAATTAGTTCGGGTGGATGATTTATACAAACGTGCAGATTTGGATGACATCAGAGCCGTAGCGTGCATCACTAGTGTGAGCAGTTCAGATCCATCCTCTCATGTGCAGTATTATCTCACATCTTGTTCAGAATGACAATGTGTGACGTGTTGATGAACAGGATGTTGATGTCCTGCTGATGCACGCATTTTTCTCCTCCCGTTTCCCCCTCCAGTTTCTGGATAAGTCTCAGGACGTCTTGCTGAAGCACCAGGCCAGCATCAATGAGCTGAAGAGAGCCCTGAGGGAGCCCAACAGTAAGCTGATGAATCGGGAGAAGCGTCTGTCCATAACCTCCCCGACTGGCACGCCAGAGAAGAAGGCTGTGAGTAGGGACTGAGTGTGTGTGTGTGTGTGTGTGTGTGTGTGGGGGGGGGGGGGGGTCTGTGGACTTAAAGGTCCACTATGGTCAATATTTCAAATCTAAAAACCTCTGATGCTTGACATTCCATTACAGGACATTGATATTCAGGTCTCTTTTTGCAGCTTGACTTGAGGTGAACGAGTCATGTTTCTGTTTTGTATCCTCTTATCATTGTCTATGAATATTTCAAGCCAGAAGACGTACAGTTCTGCTACAACTGTAAAAACAGAGCAAATGAACATGATTAGAGATGGTAGTTATAGTTATTTAACAGGTGTCTCCTGTGCAAAGATATCGTCACTCACAGGAAGAAACATCAGAACCTGCAGTTTATTTTAAGATGTGTGTATAATGAGGAACACATCTGCCTGTCTCCGGTGCACCAGATTAATTCTGACACTATCTCAGAGTAGTACTCCAAGATGATTGACAAGTAGCACTGAAGGAAACATCTTGATGAGATTAGTTTCAAGATGTTTTTTGAGATTTACTCAACGTGAGGCACTCGAGAAATAATTATCAGTTATCTTTTTTATTTTTTCATTTTTTTTCTTCCTTGATTGCCTCACAATGACACAGTTTTCTTTATGCCAGATCACGGAGGCTCTCAAGCTTTGATCACAATTTTTTTGGTAATGAGGCCATTGACGATACACCGCAGAGATTGTAGTCCTCAGATAGGACAGTTCACGTCTTTGCCAGCGCCCAAGTCATCTTCAGACGATCTCTCATCTGCTGTCTGGGATGATCAGATTATGCCCACAGAATGTCAAACGCTGTCTGCGGCAGAAAATGCAGTCTCCCGTGTGTCTCATTCCAGGAGGAGGAGAGATTGAGGGAGGGGTGTTGAGGTGGGGGTATTATTCTGTTTGACTGACAGTAGACGGCTGTGAAAGTCTTGGTGCTCCTGACTGTTTCCAAGAGATTCAGACGAACTCAGCTCTTTGATGTAGTTACAGAAAAAGAATATTTGCATTGCAAATGCCTGCTGATTTGGTTGTGTGGATTTGGTGGCTGTCAGGTACACGGGATTGCATGTTTTTAGCTTGAAGTTCATTAAAAAAGTTTTTACAGAATAACTCAGTTAAGTCCTGTCGGCACTGATATCTTCTTCCTTCTTCCTCTCCCGTTTTCTCCCTTTTGCATGAAGTTGTGCATCTCACTAATTCACTCCCTCATTTCCAGTCTGACTCTAACAGCTGTTCTTCCCTTCTCTTTTAAACTCTCTCCTCTGCCTCGCGTCGGCCAGTTGGTGGGCCGAGCGGTGGGAAAGGACCCTGTTAACAGCCTGTCTGTTGAGGGTTTCGTCCAGAAGACTATGGTGACTTCACCCGAGGTTGCACATCTCTCACTCTTCCTCTCTCATGATACAGTTTGGTATTGATAACATTTGTGGTTCAGTGAAATGCACCTCCTACTCGTGTCTAATTTTTTAAAGACAATACAACCACATATTGTAGTTACTTCCTAAATACAGATGCATGTGGACCAAAACACCATTTTGTAGCAGTTTTACGTCATTTTTCTGTGATTCAAATGATTGCCTAGATTTCATTATCTGCAGCAGCAGTGCTTGGCATGTCTAACTGTGTTTAATCTATACCAACATGTAGGGCTCTGAGGAGTGGGTATTGATTGAAAAACAAGAAACTTATCAACAAGACCATGACTGGAAGGCAGAAGAAAAGAACAAATCTCTCACATCTGACTCCTCGTGGGAGAAAAAGGAGCTGGAAAAAGAGATAGATATTACCAAGATGATACATAAAGAGGTAACAGGGTATGACAGAAAAGAAATGAAAAGCCATATTGATGAATTTCCATCAAGGAAACCGTCCAGTGAGGCAGATGTGTGCTCTGAATCTCGGCCGAGTCGTTTTGTGATTCAATTATCTGAGAACGCAGACTCGTTTCAAGACAAATCTCAAAGTAAACCATCTCACACCTCAGATCCCGAGGCAAACGATGATGTGGCCCCAGGCTCGCACCAGATAAAGGAACGCACAGTTTCTAAACAGAGGAAAAAGAGGAGACCCCAGAGCTTAAACCTGGGAATGCCTGCAGAGCTCATCTACAGGAAAGGAGGCAGCGATTCTACCGGAGAAGAAAACGAGGGCTCAGACTCAGACACTAGTCCAGAGAAAATGTTTCAAACAGGAAATCATTGCGAGTCGTCCCCGGTGTTGGTGAAGAAAGATGATCAGGGATCAGGGAAGGATCAGTCTGTTAAGGCCTGTAAAGACGGCGAACAGGAGCAAGTCTCAATAGTAGAGAGCAGGGAGATCTCATCTCAAGGTGCAGAGCAGGGGAACAGAAAAGTGAGTCAGGTTGGAACGACAGATATCGATCTAAGCTCAGTGAACGGACCCGGAAAGATAGAGCATGATAGTTCATTAGCAGGTGTTAAAGGAGAGTGTGTGATGAAGGTGCGAGGGAAGGGCCTTATCGACAACAAAGAGCTAGCGGAGGTAAAACTGCGACAGGTCAGGACACACGAGAGAAAGATCAGTAGCTCCGGGCCGGAGGATATTGAGGGTTTCGTGGGAGAAAGAGGTCAGAGGACGTCTCTCCACCGGCTGTCAGGCAGCAGCTATCAGTCAGAGATCACCAGGATCGTTCCTCTCAAGCCAGAGCGCTCAAAGAGCGTAGCGTGTAAGGATGAAAGGGACAGGACAGGACAGGAGGATCCAGCCCGGGCCATCAGAAGAGAATACCGCTGGTCAGTGGGCTCTCCGGAGGGATCCTCAGACCTCAACTGGACGGACGTCTCCACCTTCCATTCAGCGTTTCCAACAGATCTGGAGGGAAATGCTAAAACAGAACAGCCTGACGACAGCTATCAGCCTGGCAGAGGACCTACAGAGAGTCAGTCATTTGGCTCAAAGATTTCAGCGCTTCCCAAAATGGCTCCCCCGGCCCCACCAGTGAAGACGCAGAAGGCCAGGGAGTCGGGTCTGATACTGCGGAACAGCCGAAATGCTGGCAGGGAGCCGAGCCTGGACGCAGCCAAGAAGAGACATTCGGTAACTCTGCTTGGCATCTGCTATTCAGTCATTGGAAGTAAAGCATCGCATGAGCTTCAGACAGACTCGCACGCCATTTTTCTTTTTTTCTACCTTTTCAGTGACTTGAAACACTCCATCCATCTTACCTGTTGGTGCCTGTGTGAAGAGCAGGCGGAGCGGTACTTCAGCTCCGTCTTGTGGCAAACAAACAAACAAACAAACAAACAAAAAAAAACAATCAAAAAAAAAAAGTTTGGACATTTCCTCATGTGGCAACTCAATAATTTCCTCTCCCCTCACATTGTCCTCAACATGCACCACACTTGTCTGGCAAATCTGTACAGCTCACCACTGGCTGTGAAAGACAGAAAAAAAAATCAATGTCTCATGTTTTGGTTGTTGGTTGGTCTTCGCCTTCTCTGACTTGCGAGCCACAGATTTCCTTCCGGCTCACGCTGTTCTCTGTCAGTGTGGCAAGGAAAAGAAAGGCTCGCACATTATCATCGCTCTGATGATTTTTGCACATCTCCATGCCATTTTCGAACTGGAAACACAAAACAAAACAATTTATTGCATATTAATGTTACAAATTGAATCACTCATTTGAGGAGGAGAGGGTGAAATGTACTGTCATCCATTACTTTGTTACACACAGCTATTATCTCCCAAAATTAGAGATAAATGGAGTATGGAATTGGTTTGCACACAAAAAACTAACATCAAACTGACGAACTTACACCCACAGAATTCACAAAATGTCCCTTGATCCTTCAGATTTGGAGAAAATAAATCATAAATCAGACACATTTATTCTCCTGCGACCCCACCCGGATAGAGAGCTAAGCGGTGTTACAAAACACACTGGTTCCTCCAACTGTGAAACCCCAGCTGGCGGCGAGCAGTGAGACACCACAGCTCAGTGCCTGACACAGTCAGATTTGCTGCTTTCATTTCACTGTTGGTATCATTAGGAGGCTTGCACGCGTTCTGGCACTGGAATGAAAGGAATTTGAAGTGAATAGACATGACAGCTTTCATCATTTCCCACCTTTTCATCTGAGTTGAGCTCTTGCATATATTGGATTAAACAGGCATGAGGTGGGGTGTTGCGTAGCTCACAGTTGTGCGAGCACACCTCACCGGCGAAGTGACAATTATATCAAGATCTGATTGAGCTGGGGGGTGTGGGGGTGGGGGTTCGGGTGGGGGGTGTGCTCCTCTCGGAACACGTGGACCCGCTTGCACACAGTCATTTTGACGGGCTTTGAAATGCACCCGTGCACCTTTCATTGGACATTCGACAATATTAGTTGAATACTCTCTTGTTGAAATTCAAGGAGCGTAGTGTTGCAACACAGAGAGTGGCTCCTGCTCTGCTGAAAAACCTGCTCATCATACAAACTGCATGATTCTCTTGTCTCTGCTAACTCTAACAAATAAACCAGGCTATATATGTTGTTTCTGTTGCAGTAAGCTCACCTCTTTTCTGTCCTTTAGACTGTACTGTTGTATGCCATGTTACTACTATAGAGTAGTGCTTGAAATTTGTGCCTGAATCCATGTGGACCTGACTGGATCGCAACAAACCCAGTGGGCTTGGTTTGGATCTGGCTCAATTTCTCACCTAAACTTGGGTTTCAATTATTAAGACATTAAAAATACAGATTTATTAGCTACTTTGAGCTAATTTTGGCTATACCCTGATTTTGACTGAGCAGAACACCAGGATCCCAGTTTAGGTCTGGACCCATATTTCCAGGCCCCAGTCAGGCTCTGCTGTTAGGATCTCTGCCTGTTAGCCCACTATCCACTTCAGCTCGCTCTAACCTTCAGATGCTCTCTCTGCTCTTTCCTCTGCTTCCCTCTCTGCAGGAGCCCGTCTCTACTCCTGCCATTTATGAAGAGCCGTTTGCTGATTTCAAGGTTATTCATTTGAATTTAAACCCACCTTCATTCCCTACACCCATGATCTCTTTATCCCCCTCTCGGCACCCCTCACTGGGCAAAAACCGCATGCCTCCTAACTGACTGCAACATTTTCTCCTGATAGAAAAAAACAAACCCAAAAGCTGTAAAGGTTGAAGTAGCGTGATACTTTTTACTGGCTACTCAGCTGCCCTCATCCATCACCATGATGAGTTTGAATTGAATGTGTGGGTCGAAAACAGTATCCCTTGTGCTTGGCTGTTGATGGCATGATGCAGTTTTTACGGTGATCTGATTAGAAAGTGTACTTGTAATTGATAGAAGTGGCATTAGTGTAGATTGGATATCTCAGGAGCGCCATTGTAATTCAGTGGTTTCCAACTTTTTTTGGATTATGACCCTGCATGTGTCAATTGAGCCAAACTGTTATTTTTTGCACTTTGTTTTATTTGATTTGATGTTTTTAGAGACATGTTTAATAGTTTAAAGGTCCCATATTCTGTTTAATTTGATGTGTTGATCCATAAGAAGATATATTTGTGGTTTTAACAAGCAAAACCATCTCAGTGTAGTTTCACATCTCCTCTCTCAGGCTTCTCTCTAGAGCTCTAGTAACAACAGGTCGCTGAGCCAGTCAGAAGAGAGGAGGCTCTGAGCATCTCTTGTGATTGGCTGACTATTTTCTAAGTGATCGAAAAAAAATATAGCAGATTTCAGGTAAAACACTCAGAGAAACCATATCCTACAAGGTTGGGTGATGGGTCCAGGTGGGCAGTCAGGGGGCATGGCTGAGGGCGGTGATAGCTTTGTTGTGACATCAGTTTCTGAATACAGGCTGTGTGCATTTCTCTGTGGACTGAGGCTTGGATACTTTCACAGTATTAATATAAAACTTAAACCTGCTTTATAATCAAAAAAGACATGGAAATCTCCCTTCATATAATATGGGACCTTTAAGGTTTTCAGGCTGGTGCTTATGTAATAGATAGAAAGGTTGTAATTCCATCATTTTATGCTTTTAGGTTGATTATCTCCCTATTTATCATCCCGCAGTCATTCAACATTTCCTCTCTGACATGACTGCATGCCCTTTCATTTTCTACTGCATAATCAGGATAAAATGCATATCTAATATAATGGCTTTGATTTTGGATCGTCCATGAATCCCAGCGAATACACCACCTTTAAACACGAGGATGATACTTCATCCTATTCCATGTCATCATCATCCTCCATCCATCCATCTACAGTTACATTAGATGTGTGACCCTGTCTCTGTACCCGCCCCAGAAGGAGCTTGGGGACAGGAGGCCCCAGCCGAGTATAGCATCCGAGGAAGAGCAGGAGCGGGACACCGTGGCCTGCATGAGGGAAACCCACCTTGGCATCGAGCGCAAGTGCTCCAGCATGACAGTCAGCTCCACCTCCAGCCTGGAGGCCGAGGTCGACTTCACCATCATCACAGATCTCCACTCTGGAGTGGAGGAATTCTCTAAAGGCATGTTGGAGCTGGAAGAGAGGGAGCGACAGCCCGAGGTGGGCCGGGAGGACTTTGAGGAGACCTCCAGGTTCTACTCTGCCCGTCTGATGGGCTCCCGGGACAAGTCTCCCATAGAGGAGAAACTTCCCGAGGAGGGAACACATCATGAGGTAGACAGCCGAATGCATTCATCCTTCATCATCATCACCCACTGGATTCACCCTGCTTGGTTGGACTTGGTTGCTCTTCATTTATTTATTTATTCATTTTGGACCATTTCCCACTCTTTGAATTCAGCTGTATTTTGTTCATGTTTAATTTTGTTCAAAACTCTACATGTTTTATTCTCTTTGCTGATGAATTCATTTTTGAATTTCTCACCCATTTTATATTTGTCAGTTGCATCTGTGTTTCTTTCAGTTCCCTGCTGCGTCATCTTTTGCATTTTGTCATCAACCTGAACAATCTAATAAAAACTTTATTTCAGCATTTGTTCCTTTAAGTCAACAGTATTGAAATGGTTTGCTCTGAAAGTTTTGCTGCTCGTAAGCAACACATCTGTTTTCCCGGGTCCTCAGGGGTCTTGCTGTGAATAAATTGCTTGCTGCTGTTTGACTTTACTGTTTGTGTTTCGAACAGCCTCCTGTGGCAAAGAAAGACCCCAATGCCGTGAGCGTGGCCCATATGCTGAAGAGGACCGACACCAAGACGGAGATGCATACGAATGGATCAGAGGTCCACGCCAACATCATGAATGTCTCACCGCAGGTAAACCAACAACAACAAGAGCAATATATCTATCAATATCTAAACTGTCATGTACAATTTTTTGCTCTAGATTCACACCGCTGTCTTTGGTTTTGATACTCTCGACACTGTTTCAGTCAATGAGAGACATTAAAGCAGTAAACTCTTTTCTGAACGTTATTTGAGTAAGAATCTTTTGGTTTTTAGAAGAGAGGCTGTGAGCCTCATTCCTAAAAACCACAAATACATCTTCTATACATTGGCTGAGTGTTTTCCGAGTGATCTGATCAATATATAGCAGATTTCAGATAAACACCCAGATAAACAAAATCCTGCAAGGTTGGATGGTGGGCTTTCTTGCCAAGATTTAGATGAGAATCAATACCACTCTCATGTCTGTTCAGCACAATGCTACAGCTGACAGCCGGTTAGCTTAGCATAAAGAATTGAAACAGGGAAACAGCTGGCCTGGCTTCATCTGGAGGTATCTCTGTGGTTTTATGGCAGGTTCTGTGCTGGACTATTTCTCGGCCAGGTGCGGTGACTACATGGGGTCTCCATTGTTCGCCAGTCAACCTCATGGTGGCAGTCACTGTCATTTTTACACCTCAGTTTTTGTACAGATTTAACAAACAGCAACATGTTAATTATTGAGCTTTAGAGGTGCTGTTGGGTGGATTTTGTTACCTTACCAGAGACAGGCTAGCTGTATCCCCCTGTTTTTCCACTCTTTATGCTAAGCTAAGCTAACCGGCTGCTGGCTGTAGCTCCGCATTTATGCCACAGACATGAGAGTCTTCTTGTCTAACTCTCCCAAAATGTCAAATTGTTTTTTTGCTATATATTTCTCTGTGTCCTATTTTAGACCTTCATCATGTTACATTTTGACTGGAAGTATTGGTAGAAAGGGCAAGTGAGGATAATACTCATAGGATCAGTTCCATCAGTCACCCAACAAACAGACTTGCAATGAAGGATTTCATATTTTTTTTGCAGCGCTCCAGAGTTAGTCTTCATTAGAGGAGAAAGCATTTTTCTTTGGGTTTCGCTGCCATGAAGGCCGTATTCCCCAGACGCCGATGACATAATAGCATCATTATGGAGTGATTAAAGTATTGACAGTGTATTAATGAGGATGATGAAAGCAGGTGCGAATCCCATTCATGTCCAGAGGCAAAGATTTGAGTGCTGGCTGGCTGTCCCACAGGTGCCTTATTAAATTGTAATCATTGCCGGGATCTTTAGCCATTCAGCTAATGGTGTGTATGAGCTTAGGCAGTGATGTGGAAATGGTGTCTTGAAGTGACAGATCAGTGTTGAGTCAAATTTTCAAAGATGCCAGTGTAAGCCACAGTTGTGTGTGTGTGTGTGTGTGTGTGTGTGTTATAAATGTAGGATGACGATATCTATTGGCAGACAAAGATCTCCAATACTAATGTTGTTCGTCCAGCAGAGGGAGACATGTCATGTGTGTTGAGTTTCTCAACAACAACAACAAGACACATTTTTATAAAAAAAAGCTTTTATTGTGTGGTGTCGTTTTAATTTCATTTACATCTTACTTTGATTTGGTTGGACGTTTTATATTTGACTCATGTGAAGCACTATACAAATAGTCTTATTCTTATTATCATTATTATTATCGCTAAAGAATATGTTGTCAATACTGTTCATAACTCATTGAAATAAATTTTCTCTGACTTTGCTGCTACAAAATGCTACAAAGATTTTATAAGTGATATCATCATCCTAGCATAATTTTAAAGACTCCCAGTTGAATAAAAGTATACTGAAACATTTTAGATGACATACCAGTGCTGTTTGACTAAATCTGACTAAAAGAGATGGACATGCTTCAGATATATATAAATAACCCTAGTACATCGATACATTTAGTTGCTTTAAAGCAGCATTACTTCATTTGTTTTGGAACAAGCTGAAAACACAGCACTGACACACTGTCAACAGGCTGATGTGGTGAACATCCAGCACACACGTGTCAACATCAGCATTCATTTAGAGTTTTGTTTCTTGTGACCTGATAATTCAAAGTTCAGTAGTTGCTCTGCTTCAACTCTGATTTAAACTTCCAGCAACTTTTGAAGGATCTGACTCTCCAGCTGCTAAATGCTCCAAATAGTTGCCCACTGTTCACTGGGAATAAGGTTGATGAGATGAGGTTGATATGAAATATTGATGAGTGAAGCTTTAAGACAAGAACTCTGAAAGGAGAAATAACATATTCCTCCTTTTATAAAAGTAAGCAATAAAACACTGTTGCTGCTGCTGCATGTCCAGTAGCTTATGGAGGCTAATATTACCTAACGTGCAAACTTTATATAGATACTGCTGCATAACTGACATTGCTGAGTCATTTGCTAATGTAACAACTCCATGGTTTACCACACCACAGATAACCATGTCATTCATTATATCCCAAAAGTAAAACAAGAAGGAAAGACACCGCAGCTCACCCAGTCATGTGTTTGTTGTTTCCTGCTTGTGTCCCCACAGACCCCTTTGCCTTGTTGTTGCAGGCAAAGCACAGGTGTAACTAATCACATCATCAGTGGCTCTGATGAGGCAGCATGCATAGAGGTGTATACATTTACAACACAAAGCCTGAGTTACAAACTGGGGGTGTGGAGTTTTAAAGATGCAGGCATTTTCCTGGCAGGGGAAAGCCAAACAAAAGGAAGAAAAAAAGAAAGAAAGAAAGAAATAATCACCTAATGGATTCCTTTAATGTACACATACATATTATCAAAGACTCACAAATCTCAAGACTGTTTCTCTCTCTCCTTCAGAACTACGGAGTTGTCAGCCCACAGGAGGCTCATGTTGCCCTTAAAGAAAATGGCTCCCCTGTAAGTATCTTTATAGAGGAAATACATCAATGTGACAGTGTTTGTATGTGTGTGTGTGTGTGTGTGCGTGCGCGTGTGTATGTGTGTGCGCGTGGTGGCAGAATAAGAAACTCCAGCCATTGTGCCGCCCCTCGTCTTCTTTTCTAGCCTTGACCTATACGTGAAGTATATAAAAGAGAGAAGTCTGTATATAAAAGTGTCAAAATGAATAAAGTTAGAGAGGAACATATCTGCAGCGTGGGTGTGGGCCACAGTACTGTATTTGGTGATAATGACTCAGTTTTTATACAACAAAGACTGTGGGTGAGAAAATTTAGATGAGTAGATGAAAATGAACTGTCATCGGGTGAAGTTTTGAACAGTAATGCCCATGTTACAACGTACAGGAGTGGTGTCTTAAAGAGAGCAAAAACCTAGCAAAAACAAGATGCATCATGGAAAATGTCGTTGGAATTTAACCCATACATCTCTGCCTCTGAAGCTTCAATTCAGACCATTTTTAAAGATCAATTTTTTGTGAGTTCCCCAACTTCGTGAAAGTTCAGTACTAAATCCCTTGGAGTGCCCCTTTAATAGAGGCATCTTCTATCTCTCTGATGTTTCTTCTTGGTGATAGAAATTTGAGGAGACACATCACACCGATGAGTTCCTGATGAGTGCCAGAGGCAAGCCTGGTCATTACTAATCTAAAGAAATTAATTATTAAAATGAATTATTAATTTGAATTAATTTTCTAATACAAAATTTATTAAAGGGCCATTCTCCATTATAAAGCTTCCCACTGTGTTAGTGGTCTTCATTCAATAAGTTGACAGAGTGTAAAATCAGGTAGACGGAGACCCTGATAACATTCTGTGTCTTGAATATAACACATTTCACATTTGTTATATTCGCCCCAGGAACTTGAGACCTCTGGCTGTGGCAAATACGTGTTGTGTATGAGCGTGTGTGTGTGTGTGTGTGTCTCTGTAGTGTGTGTGTGACTCCCCTCTAATCATTGTGCTGTAGGTAAAAGCCAGCACCCAGGGGAGGGAGTCCGTTGTGTCCCCGCTGACCATCACTGCTGAGAACGTCACCTCAGCAACCACAACTCAAGTTACCAAGGTAACACATTATCTGTTCCCATGGATACAATTTAATGACTGGGGCTTTGAGTCAGCCCACCACATCTGTAATTTATGGTACACTTCTGACCCCTCCCCCTTTGGTGAGATTAGATTAGATTAGATGGACAAATACAAGAGGTGGATGTAAATAATAAGTTTGTTTTATTGACATTAATAAAAAGGAAAAATATATTTAATATTTTTTTGCCACACAATGTGATATAACGATGTAAGAAACTCCTGTAGGTTTTACATTGATACTAAAACCATCTTGCTGATTTTCTAGACATTTAAGTACAATATCTCTATTTCTCACTGTACACTGCAAAACAACAACAACAGGGACTCAATCTGTTTCCATTTTGTGAGAGACTTTTTTATTTGGTGTAATAAAACAAGAAATGTCTTTACTGAGAAATGATCTGGTGTACAATTGATGAACTTGATGTTTCTGAAGACAAGAAACTGGTACAGAAACACCACACTGATTAGTGGAAATAAAAATAAAATAAAAACAATGATGCATTTGATAACAACTTTTGTCATCTATAAAATGGAATTTTTAATCGTGGGGAATCAGCTTATGATTCATTCAGTTAATTTATTTCTGCGTGTGTTGTGCAGACTGTGAAAGGAGGCTACTCAGAGACCAGAATCGAGAAGAGGATTATAATCACAGGAGATGATGATGTGGACCAGCATCAGGTGAGAGGAATATTATTGCATTACAGAAATGCAATACTTGTACAGTAAGTTATAAGGCACTGGAAGTTAATATGTGAGGTTTATGACCCATATGTTGGTGCGTCACATCTCCAGGCCCTCGCCATGGCGATCCAGGAGGCCAAGCAGCAGCACCCCGACATGCTGGTGACAAAAGCAGTGGTTATCAGGGAAACAGAGTCTCCCACTGAGGAGCTGCAGCAGAAAGCAGAGGTATGTGACTCTGAGTGCTCACAGTCTGCTCATGTGTAGGAGTGCATGTCACAAAATTACTATGCTTCGGTGCATCAGTGGATGGCTGAACAGGCCGGATAAAGTCTCTGCGTCAAGTAATTTTTTTGGAAAGTCAACCAAGTGACTGCAAAGAGATGCAAAACAACCACAGAGATATAAAACAACCACAAAGTTGACAGTTTTTGCATCACAGAAGAACAAAATAATGTCAGAGACACACAAAACAACCACGCATCTCTATGCAGATGGAAAATGACTGCGTGATGCAAAAAATGACATATATATGCAAATCTAGCACAAATAGACACAAAACTATCACGAGACACAAAACAACCTAACGTCTCTATGTAGATAGAAAACGACTGCACAGAGATAAAAAAAAAAAAGACAATGAAGAGACTTTTTGTGTTTGTGCTCAGGGATCTATTATCTCATCATGCGTCCATGTTGATGTGATGTGTGACGACAAATGTGTTTGTCGTCTTGTTGTAGTCCTGATTGGTCATGGCGGCTCCTGAGACGGGGAGACACGAGACGATCCCTCCAGCTGTGTGTCTCCTGCCCCACCCTGCAGTACGCCACCAAGAGGACTCTCTACCCCACTGTGTACACACCAACACGAGACCAGACTGCGCTCCATGAAGCAGTCAGTAGACCTTCACTCCTGTCCCTTTAGACAAACCAACTGTGACCAGGCCTCCCGTCCTCCCCCGGCCCATCCCAGCCCTCCACCTCCTCACGGAACAGGAAGCGAAGAGTCTCCTATTGGATAATTTACCGCTCTGAGTGATGCGAGGTTGAAAGAGAACCCCAGTCACAGCTGTTCCTATTTGAATTCACTTCTGTTAAGAGTCATTCGTCTTAAACTTTGCTTGCATCTTATTTAATCTAACGCATTTTTGAACCCTCAGGATCATTTCAATCATTGACTTTTTAACCCTAAACTCCACAGCCCCAACACCTTCCCCTCAAAAACAATCTTCTTTCTATTTTAAGGTCACAAATATCTTCCCTGTGCTACTGTCACATATGAAATGAGTATATAAGAGAAGAGGACAGCTGAGTCAAAGTATGGGGACAATGCTGGTGATGGGGGGTGGGGTGGGGAGGTTGGTGCCAAGTGGCAAAAAGGCAGCCTCTGTGCTTGTTATTGCCACCTCTTGGCTGTGACAACTTCAGTATAATCAACAGCTGTCTTATTAGCTTTTTACATTTTTATCTATAGAGAATCTAATTTATGTCCAGTGTTTGCTTGTTTATGAAATGTGTATAATATCAGATGATTATAATCTGCATGATTCAATTAAAGAAAATAGCCGAGGGAATGAAAAAAAAAGTATGCGGACACTTCCCCATTTGAAATCCATAAGAAGCTCTGATATGATGGGAACGAGCACCTACGGAGAAACTGTAAAAACACTGAGACAGTGAGTAGTGGACACATACTAATGTTGGTGGACTCTACTTGAGGAATATGAGGACAGTTCAGTGGATAGCTGGGACGCTGCTTTGGTCACAGTCTCCAACAAAAACAGACATCACTGTCCTCGTCCCATTTCTCTCCTCTTCACTATTACTGTTTTCATTTTGGCATCAACTCTCCATCAACGTAAAGAAATGCTGGTCACATGTTTTTGGGCACAGTTATAAGATTTGTAGAGAAATTTTAATATGAATAATGTTTTATCTAATAAGTTTCAGAAATGTGACGATATGTTTTTACCGTTTTCTTACTTGATTTTACTGATGTCCACCATGAAACAGGGTTTATGTTGTTCTTGTGTTTTTGGAAGTCTCAGTCCTCATGTGTGTGAACATGCTGACATCGCTCTTTAATATCCAGGCCTCCTTTAAGAAGGACCTAATTTTTTTATTTTGCAAGAACTCAAGTGAACTACGGCATCGAACAAAGTTATTTAAAAAGATATCACTTAAATGTAGTTAGTTTGTTGTGATGGGACTAGCTATATGACTTTTTTGCTGTGCCTGAAGTATCTCGAATCAGTTTGCTATTCATTCCATATTCAAAATCTTAAAGGAGCTATTTGTAAATTTTGGTATTGCTACATAGCCAACATTAGCATTAGCAGCTGTTTACTTACTAGTCTAGAAGAAATGTTGAGTGTTCAGTATCAAACCTCATTTCTTTACTCACCAAGAGCTGTCTCCAGAGGTGGAAAGCAACACCAATCATAATGTTAATACTTTGCTTCTATTTCTTTATCCTCTACTGAAATCAGCATGCTAAGCAGCTAGCCCAAGACCGGCTGGACTGTCTTGTCACTTTCCAATACCGAGTCACTGTAGCTTCCAGTCTGTCCTGAAGAAATAGCGCTGCTCAGAAGGTGTATTATAACCTCTTGTATTGTAAATGCAATGATGGCTGAAGCTCTTGGCAAGACTGAGAGTAAACCGCTGTTAATGCTAACACTGACTATGTAGCAATAGCAAAACTCACAAATGTCCCTGTCAATAATCAATATCAGCATCATATCAATTCCTTGAACCTGCTTCGATTAATGTTTTTGGCCACTTGTAGGCAGTGCAACAAGTTGTAAACACATCGTCACCTACTAGCAAACAGCTGTCTATTAAAACATCCAGCAGATGCAGAGCAGAATTAGCATCCATTTGGAGTCATATTTCTGGCCACCTGGTGAATGTAATTCAAATATTTACTGCCTTTTAGCTCTGTTTTGGCCTCTTGAGGGAAATATTTGACTTTAAGCTGTCACATCCTTCTCTAACTGCTAAGTGTGTCTGCAGTTTGGTGCTTAGCAGCTAGCATGTAGCTCAAGAGGCTAAAGTGCTTCACAGAGCTGAGGGAAACCACAGTTGGGTGATACTGTCTTTCTCTATGCGGTTGTTACTACTTTCACATTACATATAAAGATTTTAAACCATTGTCGATACAAAAATAATTATTGCAACTTCAAAGTAAGACTTTAAATGTAGTCATAATATAAAAATATGGACCAATAGCAACTTGAAACTGCAACTTCAACAAGCAATGTTAAAAAAATAGATTTTCCAGTTTTGATTCAATGTGCATGTTCACAAACACTGCCTGAAAAGTTCAAAACCACAAGATTAACATGGGTATTTTTTTTGTTGTTTTCTGTTGAATTAACTCTTTTAAGTTATGGTGTATGAGTTTGTAATTGTAATTTATAGGAGTGGTGAGTGTGAGGCCTGTGTTTTTCCTCCCTGTTCCCCTTGCAGACAAAGCTGAGACTCATACATGTGTGACATACATGATTATCCACAGAACATATATCCTGGATGACCTTTAATACTATACTATGCATCACTTATACATACAAATCCCTCTGATGGAGCCTGACCCATGTTAGCCTTGTTGTCGTCATTGTTAACTTTGTGCTACTGTTAACCGAAGCAGTCAAGTGCACTGCTTGTGAGATTTGCAATAAGCAGCCATTATTCCTATCCTCTGTCCTCTAAAGGGAGAAAACTGTGAACTGTCATGCGTACTGAAGCGTAACCAAAACCTATAACACAGTTAGTGATACTCAAAGGAGCTTTTCTGACACTTGTGACCATGGCTTTGTCGCCCTCGTCGTCTAATCCCCCCATCCCCTGACTTGAAACTGTCAACCTGCTGTTGATGTGTCTGTGGAAAAGAAATTCCCAACCTGATGATGATTTGTATATTCTATTTTGCTCTATTTTATTTTATCTGGTCAAATGACACTGGACTGTTGTGAAGGCACTTGCTCGCCATGATAGCAGCACATATACTGTAAACTGTTGGGGAAAAATGGCCTGGCTTTGCTGTAGTACTGGACACACTACTGATGGAAGAAGAATCGACTGTAGGCATCAGGAGAGAAGTTGTGCAATGTGGGCAAGGTGGTGAGTTGAAGGATGGGGGGCGGGCTGTATTTATATATTAATATCCAAACTACTGTGTATTATCCTGTAAACTATGTAGAAATTGACAGGAGCAGAGATGTGTGTTTTTAGATTGAAGGAATGAAGCAGTAAGTAAAATCCGAAGGACAGCAGAGCAATAGAAATGTCATGAGTGGGTGCCTTATGTTTGGAGTTGTGGTTATGGGAGTCACAGTTAAGTGCTCAGCTGAAAGTGCTGTTAATCACCATGAGGCAGATGTAGAAACGACCTCTCCTCTCAGTCCAAGGTGAGGAGGAGACGTATTGAAAGTGAATTACTGTCTTGTAAAGAATGTGACACAGAGTGCATTGAAAAAAGAAGCCTCTCTGGATCTGCACTGTTAGTCCTCAATGAGATGAAAAACATTTATTGGCCCCATTAATGCGGAAAACCAGCACAATACCGATTTATGGATATGAGCTTATTTTTTTCTGTGAAGAGCATCGACCTGCTCTGCTGTTTAGCCTCCACCTTCAATTCTCCACTGCCTTTTGCTATACATTCCCCTAGTGCTTGGTGGTGTGTATTTGCTGTATTTGCATTCAGTCTAAATGGAAAACATACATGCATAAATAAATGTCTCAGTATGATTCAAACACTGTCTCTGATTCGGAAAAGAGGGGAGAGGGATTTCATTATGCATGGTTACCTGTAATGAAGAAGTGAAACTTGAGAAAATGTTTGTGGCTTGAACATTTTCACACAGCAATAATTCATCATAGGAAATAAAGGGCTTCTGTGTGATCAGGGTAATGAAGGATGATGTTGCACTGCCATCTTGTGGCAAAATTCTATTCATACAACTGTGGTGCAGAGTCAAGGTATTTGTGTGTTTTTAGTGCCACCTAGTGCATTATCTGCAAGCAACACACTAAAGCAGTAATTTCACTCAAAATATCAAACTACTTTACGCTTCCATAAACAGGAACCTCCATGGACTTTCAGCATTTATATGTTATAAAAAAAAAAAAAGGGTAATGTCAGATAAAAGAAAACAAAGTTACTACTTTGAGTACTTCTCTACCTGTGACACCATCTGTATGTTTTCCGTACATTGGAAGAAGAGCATGGTTATGTCTGAGACAATAACCCCTAATGATGTCATAGTAATGTCACCAGGGTTATCTCAGGTTGAGCCAGGAGTCTAGAACTTTTAAAAAAATGTTTTAACAGAAAGCCTATACCGGGTTCTTTGATTAAGATGTGGGTGTTTTCCCAGCATGGAGGATCTACTGGTATTAAGTTGACTCATGGGAATGTAGGATGTTAATGGAGCTTGAACCATACAAGGGCCCTCTGCTGCTTCTATTTTAACCATTATTTTTCTAGTCTGTCTTTCACAAGTCCCCCAACATTACGGAACTGCAATTTTAAATGATTGGAACCCATTGGAAATTGCTACCGCTGTGTGATTATGCCATACAATTCTATTATATTCTTTCAACTTTATTATATACACCTGTAAAATCTTAGGCAATCCAATACAACAGCTCTGCCATAAATTACCACTTACCACAACTTCAATAATAAACATATAGCTGAATCAATACCTCTCTGACAGTGTCAACAAAACTGAACATTCCTATTCTTCCTAAATGTAGCATTTATGGCTGATGCATTGACTTGTATAGGTATAGTTTGAATCCTATGTCATTTCTGACATAGTTATGTATTGAGGGATGGACTGGCAGAGCTTGACATTGTTGTATAAATCAATAATCTTTATTAACACAGTATAAACAACAAACAGCAACAGAGGAAACCCTCATGTAGAGCATATATGGACAGTAGACCCAGTACATCTCAGTGGGGCTGACTGAGACAGAAGCATAGACACGGGGCTGATCATGGTTCAGTTTTAATGGTACACACACGGTATACACAAACCTATCAGATGTATGAACCTTGCATGTTCCTAAAGCCATTCGGGCGGTTTGCAGATGGACAAAGTAGGACAAAGTACAGTCATGCTGAGCAACAGTTAGCTACAGTATGAAACAGTTATTACATAAAAACCAAGTAAATCATCTCTTTAGAAAGGTTCTTTTATATAAATGATTTGAAGTGTACAAAACAGTATATTACATGTTTCTTGATGCATGATTCCGAGCAAGACCCAGTAGCCTACAGTACACTTCCCTTCAAAGTACTACAAACTACTAAACTGGTTTACAAGCTACATACAGACTGCACTGTACCCCTGCAGCACAGCAGTCCCACATGGCATCAGGAGACTATGGAAAAAAGGAAAAGATCAGCAGCATCGTCTTTTATTAAGAATACACACCTATAAAAATGCACCAGGCCTCATATATTGCCAATATCCCATGCGAAACAGCAGAATGCCATTCAAACTAACCTCAGCATTGCACAAAGGATGCTGGCCCCCTACCTCTGATCCTGACCACATACAGTTTCTACCAACACAGCAGCATGTAAACATCACCGCGGCTGCTTCATATTTCTATGTTTCTAATGTTTTTGATATACATATGATAAGTTAAGGCTCTTTAAGGACCTGAGGATTTTGAACATATGATGAGGCACACAGAAGGCAAAGAATAGCTCTAGACACAGGGCTAACTGAAAGAATGAGGAGCATGAGACAGCCACGAGGGTCCGGTCACCAGTGCAGTTCAATGGCCAAGGTAGAGGAACCCAGGGGAGATGCTCTCCAACAACAGCATGGTGCTTTTTCTGGTAACAAGGTCGGTAATGATTTCATGAGTGGCTTGAAGGACTTCATCAACTTTTTGGGAGTTCTTTGTCAACTCACCGGAGAGGACCGGCACCAAAAACATGGTGTGCTACCGCATTAGCATCTAGAATGTTAACGGATAGTCTCATGTGTCATAGGTTTGATCAAAGAGTTATCGGTCGCTGTTATCAGTCTGTCCATACAGGCTATAAAGTGATTCCTTCTGAGTGCTATTATAATGTAATGAACAGCCCTCCTTAATGTGAAAATTGAATTCTAGAGCTTTACAAGAGCTTATACAAAGCTTTAGCATTCATCAGTTAGCAAATCAAGGGAGTATCTTTGTTTGAGTTGTAGTCTGTGGGTTTGTCATTGATGTCCTTATAACAAAATTACCTGTACCATTACGAATCCTTCTACAAAAACAATGAACTTTGGGAGATAGCAATTTAATTAGTTAACTCGACAGATAACGCCCCATGTTAGCTTAAGCTGAACTTTAAAAGGCCTGTTTACACAAAGACTGGATTTTGTCTTCTTTTGTAGTTGTGCTACAAAGGGCCAGAGGACTCTTTCAGTGTATATCATATATGAGTATTTAGACTTATTTTGACCTTTTTGTAATTAGTTAGCAGTTAGCATTAGCAATATCTGACAGAGGAGGAAACCAACAAAGTTGATAGTTTTTTATTCTTCATTTTCTGTAGATTCATTTCTTAAAAAAAAAAAAAAAACTCATTATAGCTAACTTAGGTTGATCCATCTTGAATCAACTTTTGCTAGCTAACTTCACCTAGCTCACAGATGTTAAATGGGCTATTTGTAAGTTTTACCACCAGATGGTCGCTTGTTAAGAGCTTCAGCCATTGTTGCGTTTACAAAACAAGAGGAGCGCTGCCTCCTCAGGGCAGACTGGACGCTACAGTGATTCGGAAAGTGATGACACAGTCTGGTTGGTGCTGGGCAAGCTTGTTGGCATGCTAACATCAGTGGAAGAATAAAAGTGATATAAATAGAAGCAAGGCAAGAGTTAACATTAGCGTTGCTTTCCACCATTGGAGATGGTTCTCAGCAAGGAATGAAGTTTGATGCTGAACTCGCAATGTTCCTTCTAGCCTGTTAAGAAAACAGTTGTTAATGCTAACACTCGCAAAACTTACAAATAGCTCCTTTAACACTTTACTAGTATCATAAGGCATTAGCATGTGCTGTCTAGAGACATGATTTTCGATGCTAATCCTCTCTTCACATCAGATGACCAATAATGAAAAACACTCAACATGTCGATGCAGTCTTTTGTGTGAAATATTGTTGAAATATTGCACAAACAGAAATGTGAAGATGCAACGGGTAACAGATAATAATTCATCCACTGTAAGAAAAAGAAACTTCTCTGGTCTTTTACAGCCCAAGTCTTAACTTATTTAAGAAGACAAAAGGTACGCTGTCAAATCACATTCTTAAACCTCCAGACTGGAAAATTTGATGATTTTATTTGCCATGCACCTAATTGTACCCCAATAAGCCCAGACTGACTTTCAATTTATTAAGAAAACAAAATCTATAAAAGCTCAACATGTCATACAAAAAGATGCATATAAGACATTTTTCTCTTTACTTTTTTTCTTATGAAAGCTGCTTTGGTAACAACATAGTCACGACATCGGTCAATCTCCTTTTCTTAGCCTGGGTGCTGAAGGGGACTCCTTCCCTGATATCTCAATGGCATATTTTTTATTTTTTTGTCAGCTTTTTTTGTCAGCTTCTTCCTTCTGCCTCTAAAATCTAAATGAATGGATCTAGTTACACCAGAGTGGGCTGTGTTTGCGTTCCACCATAGAGCTGTCTCCGCATCAGATGCAATGTCTGCTGAGAGCTGTTTGTCATAAAGATGTCCGCGCTGTGAAAGACAGTGCTATTGTACTGAGTGCTGATAGAGTTGAGACCTTGGATGCTGAGCCAACTGCGTTGGGGCCTGAAAAGTTATTGAAAAGAACAAGGCTGTTAGTCTGATCTCTAAGAAAAAAGAGCAACAAAAAAAAAAGAAGCCTCAAATCACTTTGGAATTTAATTTCTTCAATCAACCACCTCTCCTGCTTTAGTAATCATGAGCTGAAAACATTCATTTCAAGAAATATTTGAGTTAATACTTCAGCAGTCGAATGAGAATTCCAAAGTGTTTTAAATAAATTGCTCAACTTTTCAAGCAGGGCTTGCATTATGGTGTCACATAGTGGCCATAATTACACAAATGTTTCATGTAGCACATTATTTTCCCACTCTCCCTGTTCCCTCAGAGATGATGATAGCTAATCTGTTCTGGCAAGACAGCAGCAGGGGAGTGGATTATTCAGCTCAGCCACGAGGGAGGCACTAACTAGCTCTCCACTGACCTGGTATCCTTGGGATGGTGATCTGTCTGCTACTGCTGCCTTCCCCTCCCTCTCCAAATGGCTTTATCTGGATAATATAATCCTCATCAGTGGGCAGCGCGAGCTCCACAGAGGTGGTGTTGGTTTCCATGACATTGGGGCGGCTGTGTCGGTTCTTCTTGTAGAGCACCTGAAGAACGAATGTTGCAAGTCAAGTAAAGAGTCAGGCGCAGGAGCCATGGTACCATAATTTTCTGATAACACAGAGTGACTGGGTACTTACTTTATAACCGGTGACCTCTGACTCATTCTCCAGGGCTTTGACCTGCTCCCAGTTCAGTATAATCTTGGAGTTTGATGTGTTCCACATCACTTTAACTGGTGGCTGACTGGGTGCTGAGAGGAGAAAACACATTATTCACCTCAAACAAAAGCTGAACGTTGGCAGAGAGCGACTTGTACTTCATAATTAGATGTGATAATTACGTGGTTTCTTGGTGGTAACATTGACAGTGGTGCTGGGAGGCCCTGTCCCTGCAGTGTTATACGCCCTCACTGAGATGTAATATGTGGTGCTGCCTTTCACCCCATGGATAATAGTAGATGTTTGATTTCCCACAGTCCTTTGCACGCTGGCTGTGTCTTCCCTTTCACTTCTACTCCAGTACCTCAGCTGGAAAGCAACAGGGCAGAACCACAGACGTGAACGCAGAAAACATGACGGACACCTTAAAAGCTTTCTGTTACACCAAGTCAATGAAGTGCAAACTGCAAACAGGGAGATGTGAACTCAGTTGCATGGAAGAAGTGAGCTGGTCTGAAAACAAGCCTTCGCAGCATGTCACCTCACGTGCCTTTTGTTCGCTGTGAGCCACAGCACGTGCCTCAGCTGTACTCTTCAGATGTGTCATGATTTAAGTCATGTAGTAAAGAGGGAGGTCAAATATGCAGATGAAAAAAAAAAAGGAAAACAAAGAGGAAGAACAGAATCCTCAAAAATCCCCTGCCATCAACTTCCACTGATAACAGATTTTCTTTGTCACCCTGCTTGTCAGGGCTGAAATAGCTGGCATGCTTGACAACACAAATATAATTTGTCTTTCCTCACAGGAATGGTTTGTTCAGGCCCTGCTCCTCTGTTGACTCTTAGTGGTCAACAATTTATAATTCTGGCACTTTATGCAATCCGAGGATGAAAACAATGCTTTTGTTCAAATCTTGGATTTCAATAATGAGCGGAATTAAAATGACAAGAACTAAGTGAGTGCAAAGCCACTGTCTGAAACTGCTTTGTTGTGTGGATTAGAAGCTAAATGCTCTACCCCTCAGAGTATTGCATCAGTAATCAGGGTGGTTACAGTACTTAGGTAAGCAACAAGAGAAACACAACTAAACCCACAGGCATGGGACTAGGCTGGACCATTATGCATGCAGCAAGCTATTATCTCCTATGCCCAAGGTGCATGAGCCTGAAAAACTCATCAATAATAGAAGAGAACAAGATTCAACAGCATTAGTTGCCACGTGCTTACACACACACACACACACACACACACACACACACACACACACACACACACACACACACAAACACACACACACACACACACACACACACACACACAAGTCCAATGGAAGCACACACAAACAAGGTATGTCAGTGTAGCTCACCTCATAGCCCAGCACTCTCTTCTTGCTGGCATTCCAGGGCAGAGCTTTCCATGAAACTTCAATCTCGGATGCAGAGAGGCTCTTGGCACGAACCCTGGTGGGCGCTCGGCCAGGCTCTGGAGTTAATATATAAAGACTCTAAATGATTTTAGAAGTAACACTGAGCTTTGATGACCCCTCTCAAAGTAGGAACATCAAAACTGTTTCAAAGTCATTTCTTTCATCTGAACAGCAGAGGGAGGGAAGTGTGGGGAAGACGTCTGCAAGTGCTGATAGGGCTGCAAAATCACAGCTGCCTCTGTTCTGACCCTGTATGCATCTAGTCTTGTACTCATGCATTAACACTAGCTGAACCTGTAGAGCTATTCCATAACATGTTGTGTAAAACATAAGATCACACGCACCTTCCTCAGCAGAGTAGATAGTAGTAACAGGTCCAAACGGCCCTTCCCCCTCATTGTTGTAAACTCCGACCTTCACGTGGAAAGGCGAGAAAGGCTGGATGCTCTCATTTTTAAAGACGTATCTGGACGTCTCGGCGGATGGCACGGCAGCCTGCATCCACCCTGTGGCACCGCGGGGTCGAAAAGCCACGACGTAGCCGAAACCCGGCCCATTCTGCAGCTCCTCTGGAACAGGCTGCAGGACAACACAAAGACTGAGCACTTCTAAACAACCCCCCCCCCCCCCCTCAATAGTTCAGATGGATAAATCACATTTTTTGAGTTTGTAGTAAAAAAAAAAAAAAAATCAATTGGTGTTGGGAACAAAAAAGTATTTTGGTTCATAAATGTCCATCAACTCTTTACTCCAGTTTTGTTTATGCATATCTTATAAACTGAAATATATTTTGAGCTGTTACATATTCCACCGACCTTATTAAGCTCCTTTCTTTAGAAAAAGACTGATGAAAGTCGGCACATTTATTGATTGAAGACCCGGCTGCACTCTTCCATGATTTAATTATTCTTTCTATTTTCAATATAAATATGTACATATTTTATCATGTATTTCTGTTCACAAGTGTGTGTCTCTGCTGGATTTTTGAGACAAATCCAATTACACACATTTGTATATTGTGGCATGTGAGGTACATTACTATTGTCTTTTTTTATGTGTATGTTGAACTAATGTGTTATTGATTTTTGTGTTTTGTTACATGTGCAACTAAACTAAACTAAACTTTTCCTCTAATGCCACCATCAGGCCAAAATCTTATAGGTCCCTTATAGTATAAAGGTTGATGTCCATGTGTTGTTTGATTATGAAGCAGGTCTAGGTTCTATATTAATACTGTGAAAGTATCAAAGCGCTCAGTCCACAGAGAAATGCACACAGCCTGTATTCAGAAAATGAGCCTTAAAACCAGCGGTCATGACTTCTGTAACTTTATGATGTCACAACCAAGCAGTCACCGCTCTCAGCCATGCCACAAGCCCTGCCCACCTGGACCCACCATCCAACCTTCCAGCATTTGGTTTCTCTGAGTGTTTACCTGAAATCTGCTATGTTTTTATTCGATCAATCAGAAAACAGTCAACAAGAGGATCAGAGCCTCCTCTCTTCTGATTGGCTCACTGACCTGTTGTTACTAGAGCACCAGAGAGAAGCCTGAGAGAGGAGATATGAAACTACATTGAAATGGTTTTTGGTTGTTAAAACCACAAATATACTGTATCTTCTTATGGATCAACACTTCAGAAAAAGTGTAAAATACGGACCTTTAACACCAGCCTTTAACAGAAGACTTCTCATCATCATGAGCTTTAAGCTTTTATTCTGCTTCCTGGTGCTTCTTTCACCTTAGTGAGTTACAGCTATTATGCAAATACAAATGGCCAGTATGTAATTCCCCTTTTTGTTTCAACAAAAGTAAGAATTAAAAATGCAACACTCCATCCCTGCTATTATGTCAAAAGGAAAATGCCTCGGGAATTTTCAGGACTTGAGGCGAAATAGCGGCTTTTGTTAGGCAGGAGTTAGAATTTAATTGAACTCTTGCATATTGAAACATCAACACTGATTTTGTGAAACATTTCACAGCAGGGTCTGATGATTCTGAGCAGCCTGAATAAATATAAGCTTTTGGAGCTGGGCTGATATGCGGGGGTTTTGTAGGAATAAAGAAAGAAAAAGAGAGAAAGAAAAGAAAAACAATCGGAAAAAAAAAGTTGGGACTTTGAAGGAGCCATTGAGTTTAATTATCTTATTGAAACCTCAAAAGCATTTTTCTCTCCCCCAGGGTGACAGCAGCAGTTATTGCCTCTCTGTTCTTAAAAATGAAATGCCATATATTAAGCCGTTCAGCTGTTATTAATGAAACAGAGGACCAGATCCGTAGAGAGTAATGACGTCTGGCTCCCTCCTCCATGGGTGAGGGGTCCTGAGTGAGCTTGCTTACCTCCCATGTGATGACTAATTCTGAACGACTGCCACCGCCTCCACTCACATTAGCTGGTGTGACCTTCGGAGCTGGAGGTAGAAGACAGATCAGCTTAGCTCTGTTGACTTCACACGACACAGAGAAGGCACATGTAATCATTCTCCAAGTTGCTACTCCAGTATGGCAGAAAGGCCCTTTATTTTGACATGTTTGAACTTAAACATCCAGAAATCCTGTGAGATATCAGCAAACGTCTCGCAGCTGAGTCATGTTTGCAGATGTGATCACCCAATGATGCTTTTTTATAGCAACAGATATCAAAGGAACAAAACACACAAAGGATCTAACCTTGGTGAATCCCGCAGTCTCTGGATTAGAGATGTTTATTTTTCTCTTAAGGTTCAAATTGAGCAGAACTTTAGTTTCTTGTAGCAGAGAAACCGACACAAAATCTGCATTTTGGGCAGTACTGAAATTTTATGGCACCTACAACCGAGGTCTTGTTCTACATTTTGGGAATGTTTGCCTTTTTGCCAAGAATTAGATGAAAAGATTGATGCCATTTTCCTGTCTGTGCACTAAATATGAGTCTACAGCTAGGAGGCCGTTAGCTTAGCTTACCATAAACACTGGAAAATGGGGCAAAACAGCTGGCTATGTCCAGAGATAACAAAATCCACCTAGCAGCACTTCTAAAGGTCATATAACATGTAATACAAATCTTAAGTGTTAAAACAACAGGGAGCTATGTGCTAGAAATTGTTTGCAACTTGTTTTTACACTTATGGATTAAGATACATGTAACTATTGCTGTTAGGGGGATTTTGTAACCTTAGCACAGAGCTAGGCTAGCTGGTTTCCCCTTTTTCCAGTGTTTATGCGAGTTAACCTATTGAGGCTGTAGTGTCATGTTTTATGGACAGACTCATGTCTGATGCTACAGGGGTTAAAACATGATGCTACAAGGGTCTCATCTCGCTCTCTGCAAGAAAATAAGCAAGCGTATTTCCCAAGATTTTCAACTGTTAGTTAACAAGGAAAAAGAAAGTAAGTATGTAATGTTTGTATTGAATGGAAAAAACAAACGTGATACATAAGGAAATGTTTTTCTGCTCATGCAGTACATACAGGTCCCCTTTGTCCTTGCTTGTTTGGATGGCTTGCTGGGCTCGCCGGTCCCGATGGTGTTGCTTGCCAGGACTCGAAACTCATATTCCACCCAAGGGCTCAGGTCTATTACTGTAGCTGTCAGCCGGTGGCCCCCCACCACGTCAGGAACTGGCATAAAACACACAGTGCCCCTCCTCAGCATCCAGAAACTTCTTTGTGTGTGTTTTCTGTTTGTGTGTGTGTGTGTGTGTCAGCTTAGCATCAGCAGACTGTCCTCCAGGCTGACAGGCCTGGTAGGACTCCACCACAAGTACATAGGACAGGTGTAATCCCTCACAAGGACACATAATGCACAACTCATAAAACAACAACATGATGCAAAAGAATCACATGAAAAGAAATGGTATTATTTAATTCCAAATTGTGCAAGTTAACTGGAGTTATAGCAATATGCAAAATATAGAAAAAAATATTGGTAATTTTACCAAAAATGACAAGAACGATCAGTTCTTCTTTTGAGACAGGAGCTCTGTGCACCTACAAGGTCATAATGTAGATCCGTTTCAAATATATGAAGCTGACATGGTAAATCAATGAGAGCAGTAAAAATATCTCAGCTCAAACTGTCCTTAATTCACAAAAATATCAATAGAACAGGGTATACAGTACGGGATAAAAGCACATTATACCAATCATGCATGAATGCTAAGGGCCCCATTACAGAGGATATGGGGAAAAAATTACACCGGTGCTATCACTTAACTACACTATCAAATTACAGCCCTGGCAACAAGCTTCATCATCTGGACAGGATCCATGTTTCAGGATCCCCAGGAGTCCGATAAAATGGCGGTCAGTGGTCATGCTACAGTTGCGTACCATTTTGCACCAGGGTAAAAATTACATCTCCAATATTCTCACAGGCAAGGCAGAATGAAGAGTGACCCCCCCCCCCACATGTGATTGGAGGAGGCCGCAGCTGGTTGGAGAGAGCTTACCTGTGGTGACAGCCTGCCACCCGAGGGAAAATGGTGTCCTGGCCTGGATGGTATATGCTGTAATTGGACTGTGATTATCAGGACCAGGCCTCCAGGACAGAGAGGCTGTGGTATCAGTGATTTCTTCTACATGGATGCTGGTGGGGGGCCCCGGGGGACCTGATAGATGGCATAGCCGGGCAGGAAAGAGGAAGAGAAAGATAGAGAGACAGACGGAGGAGGGAGGGGGTGGGGGGGATGTAAATGAGGAAGAGATAGAAAGATGGTGGAGAGAGCGGTGGAGGTTTTAGCACCTGCGGCTACTGAAGTCAGTTCAGTGTGAAACCTTTGGGAACTATTCGGTCTAATTAGACACAAAATTTGCTTTAAACCTTGAAGAGAGAAATTTCTTTTGCCATCCTTTTCATTCTACTCTTTTATTTCTTCCTTGGCGAGGTACCACCAGTCACAGTAAACATTAATCACTAACAAGCTCCTGCCGTCTTCAGCAGTCGATGAATGATAAATTATTTGACTGCTGTGCAACCTTAAACATCGGTAAGCTGAAATATGTATGCGGTTATTTTGAACTGAAGCTTATCTATTGGACGTAGCTTACCTCTGACGACCAAGTCAACAGCGATGGAAATGCTGTCCACCTTCGTTTGCACGGCGCACGTGTACTTCCCAGCATGCCTCAGCTGGATGTTTCGAATCATAATGTCTCCTGCCGAATGCTGCTGTCATTCAACACATGAACACACATACACACACAGATGTCTATAAACAACATGGTAAACACTCCAGCTAATGTAATTCAAGAGCAATACTGATTTTCCAGGCCACATGGGAACAAAACCAGTTGAACACAAAGCTCAATTTCATGTATGTGTATCTTGAAAAGTAAATCTATATTTCCTCGTGGAGCATTTTCTTCCATTTTCTGTCTTGGGCACATGCGCCATGCTTTTTGTCAATATAAGTACAGAAATGTACTGGAATTGCTTAATTTTGATTATGGTATAGAGCTGTTTCAGCTGTAAGAGCAGTCTAATGGCCATTCTAATAGGTACTTCTTTTAAGGCGCCTTTTTATTCCATCTCTAATTGCAATTCCCACTCCTACATTATCATTTCATCAGAGCAGAGCACAGCAGGTTCTCTGTAATAAATTGGACATTGCAGAAAGCTGTGGCACAATGGCTGTGAGAATTCTGTGGAGTGGCTGGGAGCTTAATCAATGTAAGTGTAGATACACAGCAATTTATTAGGACGAGGAGACTGACTGCAAACGATTGGTACAAGAAGCACCTACATCATAAAAGAAACAGGAAGGACACCTCAGCGCTGTATTTTCTTTTCTTTACGCCGGCAGTTTTTGAGGGAGCCTTGAATTTTTCTTAGGTAAAAACCAAGCCCACACATCACATGCTGAGGTGTAAACTGCGAAACCTTTTAAAGTGTACGGCAGCTGACTGAGACTGGTTGCAGGGTGTGTATGTAAATTTCATTTTAAAATAAACCACAGGCAGCAATTTTCTGGCCATAAATAATACACTTGATACAAACATTCCCTCTGCACTGCGGCTGAATTTATTATGACCCTGCTAAAAGAAGAAGAAGTACAATATTGATGGACCAATGAATCTTCACAGTCACCCCTCGACCTTTATTCAATGAAATCTCTGAAGGGAGGTTGAAAAATAAATCAATGTCTAAAGGGCACAGTGGTGCTAATAAAATGAGCATTCGTCAACACACGACAATAAGGCTTGTTTCTTAATTACTTATTATGCAATATGGGTCATCTGACAAACATGGTGTAAAAGCTGTGACTTCACTGTGAGAGGAACACAATCTGTAATGACTGTGAACTCGTGGAGGAGATCAGGATAAGGGTGTTGTGTGAATCGCAAAAGTAATGCGTGAAAGCTGTCCAATATTCTCAGAAGTAATCCTCATTAGCTCAGAGTGTAATAATTAGTGGTAGCATCCAGCGATCTGGTCGGAGCACCAGTTTTTAATAAGATGGTCGGCAGTTTTGAAAAGAAACTGGAGTGGAAGAAAGTTTTAAGGTAAGACAGTTCACACTTATCATAAAGTGTTATTATGTGTTTATGAGTATTTAAAGGTCCCATGTTGTATAAAGGTAGATTTACAGTGAGCGGCTCAGAGCCTCCTCTCCTCTGATTGGCGGAGATGTTTTTGGTTCTTAAAACCACAAATATATCTTCTTATGGATCAACACGTCAAATAGAATACAGGAAGTGTAAAAGATGGGGCCTTTAATGAATACTGCAACAATATTTCAGGCTCTCTAATCAATGATAAGTCATCAGGTTGATCAGCTGCTGAGAATGTTATGTAAACTTGTAATATTTCATTGAGAAAAAAAAACAAGCAGGCGTCTTCTCCTATTCCTGTATATCTGATGAGTAATACTTAATATCAATACTAAATCCAGTCTCTTACGAATTAAGCTTTACCTGTATTCACTTTTTGCACTTATGTAACATCTTTGGCATAAATCTAGTGTAGTATATTTTGATGGTAAAAATCATACGAGGTTACTATATCAGGGAGTTTCTCTTAATTGCTCTTAATTTCATGTTACTTTCATTTTTTTGTAATGTTAACTTTTCTTGTGGGGGAGCTTCTGTGCTTTTAACCAATACAACCTGTTGTGGGTTTGGGACATAGACGGTTCATTTCTTACTCCCTGCGGGGATAATTTTGTGTTGTCTCAGTTAATGGTATCACTGCTACTCATTTCCTTTTCTCACTGGACTTTAATGCGTCATGTTAGATAACCTGAGCCGACAGATGTTTATCAGTTTATTATCAGTGCTGTGTGTATTAATGAAATTTTAGAAGTGTATTTTTGATTGTGTCATATAAATATACTGTCAAATGGTAATTGTATTAGTTTACAGTAGATTGCTTAACTTCTACATCGTGAAAATATCCCTAAGTATGTTATCATGACATTGAGACAGTGTGTTTTCTAACCACCCCTCACTGTGTGCACGTCTCTGATTGTTTGTCAATGTGAAACCTGTGCAGGTCTCACACCACGGCAGCTGGTTTAAACATCGGAGGCCCGATAGCCTCGCACACTGGCAGAAATGATGAGGGGATTGTACACTTACACCCCCCACTTTTTCAAAAAATCCCCCGTGGCTCCCGAAGTGGATGAGCTGCTCGTTGAAGAACCAGGTGAACTTGAGCTCCAGAGATGGGTCATGGCTCACTTGACAGGGCAGGACCACACTCTCCCCCACAGTGACGTCCAGCGTGGACGGCAGGGTGGTGATGATGGTCGGCTCTGAAACACACACATTCACATCTGTCCAACATTTTGATCAAACACACTGTTCTGCTCCTCTTTTCCAGGCGTTATGATTCAGTACAGGAAATGGCTTTGGAAAAAGCCAAGCCCTTCCATCATCCTTATGGATATGTCAGACTCAGTTAATAGAGGGATATACGGGACAGAGCACACAGCAAAGTAGGGTGCACAGCTACAATAACTGGTATTAGTCTCAGCCTGAGCTTGTCTCTGCGGGGACTCGGAGACGTGTCTCTCCTGCATCCAGAGAAGCCTCCATGTGTCACTGTCAGCTCAGCCTTCAGCCTGGGACTCCCCCCGATCGGCCGAAATTCCCAAAACGCACCGCCAGGAAAACAGTAAACAGCAGTGAGCACTTCTTCCAGTGACTACTCTCTTTTCAAGCCTGCAGTGCATTACAATAGCATCACATGGGAATAAGGCAAGCGTCCCTTATCTGCACTTGTGCGTGAGCAGTGGAGGAGGAGGAGGAGGAGGAGGAGGAGGAAGGTGGAAGGATATGAGAGAGGGAAAATGAGAGGCAAAGGCTTTGTTCTCAGAGTGTACAACACCTATCTCCCTCTTGGGGGTGCTGTGATTACTTGGTTGAAATTGCCACTCTGAGCACACAGACTAAATTAACCATGGCAAATGATCCCTGGACAGGCATAGATTCATGTTGAAAGTGCCGGCAGTGCAGTCTTCATCCAGAGTGAATTCGATACCTTCATTGTATTGGCCCCCTCCCACTCCTCCCTGACACACACACACACACACACACACACACACACACACACAACCACCATACGCTTCCAATGTGATTTATCTAACCGTTTCTGATATCAGGCCAGAATGCTATCAGCTGCTGGGTTTTGTCATATACACAATGAAAGTGTGTCTGAAAGGCCCAGTTCTCTATTGCTGGGGCTAAATGGTGAGCGATGGCGACGCAGTAAAAACGTGGTAATAACACACAGGAGGTATTCAAGGGTCTGCCACTGCTCTGTCTAGCTGCTCTGTTTCTAAAGGCCAGCTACACCTTGTAGAACAAGAGCAAGGAGGAAATAGGAAAGCTGAAAAATTTAAAAGGTGAGAAAAAAAGAAAAAGAAAAAACCTTTAAGAAATGTGTCAGGGCTGTTTTGCTGGGGTTTTCATGGTGAGACAGTTACACTAAATGATGTGAGGAGAAGGAAGTAGGAGAGAGCAGAAGGATCTAGAGGGAAATACTTACATGGACCCACAGTCAAAAATATTTACTCCTCCATCTCTGCAACATGGAAACATAATATAAACTTTGTTTCCTTTTATTTCTCCAGCAGGATCAGTGTATCTGCCTCTTTCTAACATGAACTCCTCTCCTCGCGGTGTGCTACTGTCCCGAGAGATTCCCTGCGTCAATGACGGTGGGAATATGCTCCCTTATTACCCTCCTCTGTCATCATTTGTGACGGATTATATGGACAACCAAGGTTGGTTACACCACCACACACCGGGCTTTTGGCCATAATTTGATTGCTTTCCATCTTGTATAATGCCTTGTTACCTGCTGCCACTTGAAACGAGAGGGTAGTAACCCACTCATTTAGCAGGGTCAATCAGAGACAAGTTAGAGAGTGTGCTAAACACGCTCAGACAGACTGGCTGGTATCTCAGGGAGTCCTGCTGAGGTGTTGGCATGTTTCAGTTTGTACTTAAGATGCAGAAAAATTCAAAAGTGCTCTACTTGTCATAGTGTTTATGAATAACTGACCGTGGATTAATCAAACGTCAAACCAATGCGTGTCATGAATTAAATATACATGAAAGTTAATAAGTTCAAAACTAGTGTTCCAGGTGCAATATCATTCATGAATGATAGTTTAGTTGGCTAATGAACTCCATCTAATGCACTGACATGGAGACTCTTTTGTAATTTGAATGATTTGAATAATCTTTAACATACCATGTATTAATGATTTACTCACTGACTCAGGCTGTAGCATTTATGTTTGTATCTTTATTCTTAAACCCATTCCTGCTGGCTGTCATGACTGAAAAAACAAACAAACTGTCCATAAAGAGGAAGTGAAGTTTTTGATCAAAACACAATTCAGAGGATATGGTACGTATATGTGCAAAGCCATTTGTGAACCTGTTTGTATAGATTAAGTCATGACACTAATGTTAGCGAGACTTCAGTCCTCATCCTGGTCAGCCATGAGTTCTAGTTATGTTTAGGTAACTAAACCTACTTGTTTAAGGTTTGATAAAGATCCTGGTCAAAGTTAAAGGATATGGTTGGTTATGATTAGTAATGTTCTATATCTTTCTCAACAAAGAACCAGTACAAACTCGGTGTTACACCATCTCTCAATACTTTCTGACTTCCCCAGCTTGTCTGTGGCCCTCAGCCACAGGCTTATTTGTTCCTGTCTTTGCTCACAAAACAGCCTCAGTTCTTCGTGGCATGGATTCCACAAGATGTTGGATTCTGCTCCATGTTGACAAGATTGATTCACATCATTTCTGCAGATTTGTCAGCTGCACATTCAGGCTGCCAATCTCCTGTTCTACCACATCCCGGAGGTGTTCTACTGGATTCAGATCTGGTGACTGGAGAGGTCACTGAAGTTCACTCACTGTCATGTTCCTGAAACCAGTTTGAGGCGACTTTTGCTTTGAGACATGGAGCATTATCCTGCTTGAAGTAGCTGTTAGAAGATGGTAAATTGTGGCCATAAGGGAATGTCAGATAATCTGTAGCATTCAAACCATGATTGATTGGTATTAAGGGGCCCGAAGTGTGCCAAGAAAACATTCCCATACCTGCCAACACTCCTGTTTTTCCTGGGAGTCTCTTGTATTTCAAGGTAATCTCCCGGCGCTCTCTTGTTTTGTTGTTGTTCCCGGGAATCTGACGTAATTTTCATGTCCCACAACCTTTATTTTAAATGATATATCATTATAAATCCTCATTCATATGTTTTGTATGTTTTTTTCTGATCCACACACATACATACAAATTCAACACATCTGTTACCACAATCTGGCAACACAAAGCCCCGATTCAAGTGATGTGTGCAGCATGTGTGACATTCAACTGTGGAAGTAATTAATAGTTGTTACGTTTACAAGTTTAACTAAACCTGTCATCTAATGTTTATCTAATGCTAAATGTCAATTAATTCACAATTATTAAAAATTCAAATGAATCCTGTTGTGTGTTCATTATGTATATATGTTATATATATCATTTACTTATTTACTTTGAATCCCAAGCTGCTGCACTCCCCCACTGACACCCTCTATCATCCAGGAAAGATATATATATATATATATATATATATATATATATCTTTATTTTTGAAGTCTAAATGTTGGCAGGTAAGCATTACTCCACCACCACCAGCCTGGATGGTTGACACAAAACAGGTTGGGTTCATGAATTCATGCTGTTGACACCAAACTCTGACCCGACCATCTGCTGCCTCAGCAGAAACTGAGACCAATCAAAAATACAGGCTTTGGATGATACACACACAATACTTGTTAAAAGACCAGACTTCTGCTTTCAGGTCTGGTGGGTTTAGGTAACTAACATTACTTGGTGAAGGTCAGGGGAGGATTGTTGTCATGGCTAAAGATCGGGAAACATTGCTGAGGTCTCATGTGCTTTGTTGAGCCGAACACTAAACCCCCCCCCCTCTGAGACATTTTACAACAGAGCAGTAGAACATAGTCACAATACTTCCATTTACTAATGTGCCTTACTTAAAGAGGAAAGAGATGACTCCTGCCACTGTAAGACAACATTAGTCACGAATATGTCAACATCAATGTTTGAACTAACAACCTACATGAGATCTATATTTAAGCCAAGTGGCATTTGAATGTTAAAAAAAAAAACAACAAAAAAAAACATTATAAGGTCTCATGATCCTCTGCACTGTTTTATGCTCAAATAAACAAGAACTGGATGAATCTTTTATTATTATTATTATTTTATTATTTAAGCAACATGTAGTTGAACCGCTGCTGTTAAACAGCAACAACGATCACAGTGCTACTATTACAGCAAAGGAACTGAAGGAAGTGTAGGACCCCAGACACCTAATGTAGCCAAACAGATGACTTATTGACACAGGTTTACGGTGGGAACACACAGAGGAGCCGTGCAACAATAACATATGGCCGACCAAGAGAGAGCGCGAGCTAACGGTTACCAAATGACTTCCTGCTCCTCTCCGAGATGTACTGTCACGCCTCACATGGCCAGTTTCACCAGTCTTCTCACAAACAGCAGCCCTTCATGAATAATGCTCAACCCCCCCCCCCGCGGACAGTCCCGCCCAGCTTCAATGGTCTAAAACTGTAATGTGTAAGCATGTATTCTCCTTGAGTGTCTATACACTCTATAGTTTTTCACACAAGGTGAGTGATGTGAGATTGAATAATGCATAGAGTAGGGCATGGAAGAGCCACAGGCGACGTGATCCGGGAATTTTAAAAACAAATTTACCAGAGCAGTGCCTCACCCTCACCCTTCAAACTGAGTGCTTCAATCTGAGACTCGTGTGTGGATCCGGAGGCATGTCGGTTCAAGACAAACACAAACTTGTAAAGGAAATGGTTTGTCTCTGGCAGGTCAAAAGCCGCCTCTAAAAAGGATCTGCAAAATCTAACAGGGCTATGGTTCATAGCATGTATTTAAAGGTAAATCGATGTAACATTATGCATCTCATTCCACGTTGCTGAGGAAGCCCTTCAATCCTCGGAGCAATCTCTCAGGTCATTTGGAACAAAAAATGTGGTGACCGTTATAAAAAGAAATCATCCCACTCCTAACTTTACCCCCCCCCTCGTCTTTCAAATCAACAAACCAAGAAGAATGCTTTCATCAGCAGATCACAAGCTCCTCTGACACGGCTTTTTTAAATACAACTTATTTCTCCATAGGTCTCTCAAGGACAAACTTCAATAGAAGGGAAAATCTTGTCTACATTGCTCGGCACATACATACAAAATGCTCTCAATGCTGTATTCATATGCTGTGCTGTGGCACATCTGTAGCAACCTGCTGGTGATCACTGACAGATGGCTGCTCATTATTTTTCTATATGGCTGTCAGGAATCACACATCGCATTTGTTTCACACAGTCGCTGCCATTCAACATGGACAAAAAGGGGTTTTGCTTGGAAAAATACCTCCCAGACCTTGGTACAAAACTAGAATAATTTTCATGACCGTTTCTCCTCTCCAGTGTTGAAAAGAGCTGCGGGTCAACTGATCAGATGATTTATCCTTTGTCTTCAACCTCCAAAAGCCCAAAACTGTCAAAGACATTGATCAGCGCCATCTTTTCAGACTGAGTTCAGAATAAATTTCATGTGATCCCAGAAAATCCTTTTTATCTAACAAATCTGAGAGTCTACAGGCATGCCAGTGGCTCTGTGAGGCTGCACTCAGACACAGTGTTGCTCTGAGCTAACATGCTAATATCAGCGTGCTAACTTGCTCACAATGACAGCGATAAGATGGTGATTTTTATCACGTACTGTATGTCTGCCTTGTTCACCGTCTTAAGGCACCTTTAGATTGTATGACAACAAGACTGGGTAAGTTCATTGCAAGTCATGGGTGAGATGAGTTTAATAAAGTCTTAGTCATAATATTAGTCATGTCAAGCTATGTGATGAGTGCAGCACAAGGATGTTAATTCATCTGTACAGCTCTTTATGTTTGGAAAATGCAGCACTCTTCAGCTCTGCAAGGTCCTGCAAACCTCTTTTTCACATCATTGTGTGCGAGTGTGTGTGTATTTCATTTTTCCCTACACCTATTTAAAAATGGCACTTGAGAAATGTTGTGCTGGCCAAAGTATTTTGTATCATTTCACGCCATACACTACTTGGTTGCTTTGTAAATGTGTGTCGTGGCAGCAGTCACATTGTGAGAATTTGCTCCTAAATTTCTGAATTTTTTACAGGTTGCCAAACCTTCAAATTGACATGTATCCTAGTGCGATCCAGCATTATTGTGTTGGACTGAAGACGAAAGATTTTACCATGTCTCTCTCACAGTTGTCAAATTTCATCTCACAAAGTCCAAATTCACACAGTTTAAAGGGGCCTTAGCATGTTATTGTTAGCTAATTAGCACTAAACAGAAAGTACAATCTGAGTCTTGTGGGAATATAATTAATTTTGCCCGTATTTGGTCATAAACCAATGTATTGGACAAATTCAAATTTTGACCTTATGATGGCGCTCGATGAAAAGTAAATTCATCCTCTGGTGATCATTAATGTCTGAACAAAATGTCATGGCAGTCTGTCCAATAGAGGTTGAGATATTTTAGTCTGGACCAAAGTGGGATACATGAGAGTCATGCTCCAACTGTAGCATGGATGAAAAGGGTCAAATACCTTAAAGGTCACATATTGTAGAAAGTGATATTTCCATGTCTTTTATGATTATAAACCAGATCTAGGTACTTTACAGAATCAAAACACTCAGTCCAGGGAGAAACTCACGCAGCCCGTATTCACAAAATGTGCCTTAAAACGAGCCGTCAGGACTTCCACAACTTTGTGATGTCCCAACTCTACAGTCACCACGCTCAGCCATGCTCCTTGCAAGACAAAGATGCTGAGGAAACGCTGCACAATCGTTGGACGTCAGGAAGCCACAATATCATTGCACAGCCATCCCAATGGTAGTATTGTTAGTTTAGTTTTTCTGAAATACTAAAGCATCTTAGTCTGACTTTGACCATCCGTTCAGCTCATTTCAGTGCTGACTGATATTTGCCAATTGCATTTACAGGTGAGGTTTATTCAAGGTAGAGCAGTAGGCTACAATCTGTTACCTGTGGTTAGCCTAGCCGCGCGTCGGTGAAAAAACAATCAGTCAGAAGACAGGCCCTGAGACCGACACATATCACCCTGTTCTTGGTACAAATGTTGGTATTTAAAACCACAAATACACTGTATCTTCTTATGTATATAAAAACAGCAGAAAAGTATAAAACTGGACCTTTAAATACAACTCTGTCACTGTGATACGCACCTCCAAAGCAGAGGGTTGCTATGATGTGTCACAGTGTTGGAAGATGAATTGCCTTCAGGGTTTTCAGAGGCAACCAGAAGTGAACACAGTATGATCTTCGAAGTTTTGAGTTCACTGACCATCTGTAATGATCGGAGGCAACCCTAATTGCAACGGCTCATCTCCAGTGTAATCAAAATTCAAGGAGGACATCTATAATCAAGTGCAATTAATCTGCTAATATCCCCCCCAGTGTTGGAATAATGGGGACATTAACAGGGCTCATCTGTTGTGACTGCTCCTGCGCTGTTTGCTAGGTGGCTTATTCGCAGCAGGAGACACCGAATGGTTTTTGACAGGTATTTTTCAGCATTCATATCACCAAAGTCAATTTGAATAAACTACTGTCATCTCCCATAAGGGCCGCTCCCGCAACACAAATTTCTCCCCACTAAACAGGTTTCCAATCCTCAATGAAATAGTGCATGTAAATTACCCCATCCCATTTTCTAAACAATATCGACTGTGACAGAAAGGCACAAGATCATATACAGGAACATTTGTACATCAGCTACAGAAAACAGCTTTAACGTATGATGATGGAAAGGAAGCGAGTGAGAGAAGGTGTCAAATAAAACCTGTATTCCCTTTCACAAGAATAATAAGTGGATAACGGCGCTGTCTGTTTATGCTGAGACGACATTCATATGAGGGTGTGTTTCCTTGCAGCTTGATTGGAAAATCACATACAGGCCACCGACCTGAATCTACAGCGACAGCGGCAGGTTTCACTGCCCCCCCCCCACCCCCCGCTCATCCCGATTGGCTTGGGGGTGGGGGGTTCTGTATGACTTACACCATGTGTGATAAATGGGTAAAAAGCAGGTTCAGTTTCTTTATTATGTTTTCAAATCGAGCTCTGCGCTTTAAAATCTCACTGCAGTTAGAAAAATACAAAATGCAAATGGTTACTGATCATTTTTGTAGAAAGACAGCGTCGTCAGTGGGAGGCACAGTGATGCATCAGCGTAAATCAGCTGCAAGGTGCACTTAAAGCTCTCCCCACATTCTTGACTGCTGCTGACTTTCAAGCATTCATAATATATGAAATCTGTCTTTTATAATTCAACAGAAAAAGGAAACATGCCTTGATAGTGATTTACAGAAGACAGAGTTGGCACAGAGTTTTTTTTTTAATTCCATTATGTGATGTGTTTTCTTGTAAAAAAAAAAAAAAAAAGAAAAAAAAAGGGGGAATTACTGTGTAGGTACAGTATTGGACATTTCTCTTGCTGTTATTCACATTGACATTAATCAATGTTTTTCAAAGTATTCAATCTATCAAAAACTAGCCTGCAGGGCTAAATAAAAGTCAATTAATCCAGGTTTCTATAGCAACCCCTTAGAGAAAAAAAAAAAATCAACTGATATTTTAGCAGACTGCTGTTGTGTTGACGTGGCATTTCAAGGGATTTTACAGATCACTAACTTGCCGAAGAAAGACAATTAAATGGATTGAACTTTTGAGCAAAAATCATAAACTATAGTAGAAGAAGAAGAAGGAGAAGCTTTGTCTTCTAGACTTTATAAAAAATGATTTAACTTCAGAGAGAAGGGGAAAACACTAAAACATTTTTCATCATAAAGTCTGGGGAACTGGAAGGATTTTGTCACCACTTTATTAGTTTTTTTTTTTCTGACCAGTGCAGTTCATCCTCTACCAGGTGAAAGGTTTAGAGCGGCACAGACAAATGATGAGTGTGTGCTGCATGTTCACATGAGCATACGTGCATACATGTGCTGAATGAATCTGCGGAGCACAATCTTGCCCGCAGCGTCTTAACGTCTCAGAATATTCTGCTTGTGGTGAAACTGAAGAAATGCAATTGCAGCTGTCTGATTTGTCGAAAATATTTGGTAGGATTGTTCCATCAATCTGTTGAAATATACATATAAACATTCAATATAAATCCATACCAAAGCTTTTGAAATATGAGACATGAACTTTTCTCCCTAAGGCCGATATACTGAAGATCAATAGTTCTATAAATCTTCACAAGCCAGCTGACAAGGAAGATCAAGGCAGAACAAACAACAATAACACAAATGAACCATGCAACCTCCGTGAAAAGGGGGTCACAGTGAGGGTATAGTTCGCTGAATAAGTCAGCAAATCCCCCAGGAAGGAGGTGAGAACACTATCCCCCTGTGGAAACAGGACAGAAAAACAGCAGTGTGCACAGAATAAAGCCACTCAATGCACAGCACTTTATACCCAGCTCACATTCATTTTTAATGAAGTATAATAAGTCACAGCACCAGAGCAGAAATGCAATCCCCAGCCCAGATGATCTAACAACACTAGGCCTTTTTCACACAGCATATCCTTTGACAGTACCGGCGGCACCGAGGCAGTGAGCTGAATGTTTTCAACACCTCTGCAAACAGACATAGCAACCGAGGTGTCTCTGTCTCTGTAGTAATGACAGTACAGAGGAAAGAAGAAAAAAAATAAAATAAAATAAAAACCCCAGCTTCTCATGACTTACCAGAAGATGGAGCGAGGTGGTCAGATGCCTCAGAAATCGCTCCTTCTTCTCTATGGTGGTCATTTTTTATTTATGAAATCGAAAACATCAGTTAGTTTTTCAAGGAGCAGAATGAAATATCAAGCAACTCCGCGTGCTGCCAGAGTGAAAAACATGCATTTGAAAAAGGTGTCCAGTACTTTATTGGTCAGGGTCCCTGCTGACTGAGCTGTAAAAGAGACAGTGATGAAATTTAAAGAGGGAATAGGAAATACCTTTAACTGTGACGCTTCCTGTGCTGCTCGCCACGCCGAACTGGTTTCTTGCCACACAGGTGTAGAGACCTGCGTCGGATTTGGTTGCATTCCATATCCGAAGGTTCCCGTTGTTGAGAATCGAGACCCTGTGGTTAAAAAAAAGCAAATTATTTATATTACTGTTGGCTTGCACTGTTAGTAACAAATGCTGCATACAATGTAAAAGTTGGGGCCGACATAAGCAAAAATATGTGACTAATACAGAGCAGAGAACATTTCTCAGTATCTCTTATTAAGTCCTGCTTCTTTGCAGATGACGATGAGAAATAGAATTGTATTTTCAGGGCTGATTAATTCAGAACATGACTTCAAGATATCTAGGACAACGGTGGCTTCATGCCCTTTACACAGTGGCCACGAGTGCTTCAAGAAAGGTCAAAAGGCCTTAACAAAACTTCACATTTTCTAAATAACAAGCAAACATGGAAATTGTGCCCTTGAAACCAAGGTACTGTGGGAAATCAAGGGTGGACCAACACAAGAAGGCTGAATTTTAATTATCTGAAATGCTCTGCTGAATGTGCACACTGTAAATATGAAATGGCGTCAGCCTGATTGTGAGGGGGAGAAAATGATGTGTGGCCAGTAAATTGCTGTTTTCACCTATGAATGAGTTCACCTGTGAGTCAAAGGAGTCACAGTGAACAGACTCATCCACTGTTAGATGGCAGAGAGGGTTTTAGAGATTCAAGCACACAAGCCACAAATTTAACTAAAGGGAGAGATCTTTATATACAGACATACACAGAGGCACATATGTGTTATTCCAGACCTACGCAGACACGTGCACAAACACTTCAAGCTGCACCAGTGGATATTTTTAGATCCACAATGAATCAAATGACAATGAGTAATGGGGTTGGGGCCGCTTGTAGTGAACAACCCCCAGAGAGTCATCACCCGACTACAGTTTCCCTCAGCTCTGCAGAGAGTTTTAGCATCATGCAGCTAATTGTTTTGGTTTTTAAGGTCCACAGCTCTACTGTGCTGGTTCAGTCTCACTGCTCTCATTAGTGTCGTCTTCTGTCCACTACCTTCACAGCACCAAAGAACAGCCGCGCATACTTAGCGAGTAGCTCTTAAACATAGCGAAGCATTCAGCGGCTAAAGAGCCAAATATATTCTTCAGGGGTTGGTAGAGACCAAAACAGAGTTAAAAACTTACATTCATGATGTGGCCAGAACTGCAACTACAAATAAATGCCAGTGTTGCTCCATGTCTGCAGTATGTATAAAATAGGTAAAATTTTCACCATATCAACCGTGAATGTTAATGTCATGTTCATAGTTTGTTGCTGTGACACTGGGTGGCAAAAACACAGGTTTCATATTACTCCATGTAACAATTCTTCTTTTGTTTGTTTTCATCTCTTATCAGATGTTTAACAGTACAAGTCTAAACTAAGAAGCCGACTGGCAAATATAAGTCCAATATCCACTCTTCTTTTAGCTCTGTTTTTGGTTTAAACCAACTCCTAAGGGAAATATTCCACCATGTTCACCATCTAGTTGCTAACTTCATCTGTCTACTATGCTGGGCAGCTAGTCTATATATCTGAGAGCTTTTTTGCTGAAAGTTGTTTGTGGCCTGAAAACGTCACTATGAAAGCAATTATAAATAGTGAGGTTGCCACACGAGCTGAAAGACGTTATAATGCACCGCTTTGAAGAAATGAAGAATCGGGTAATATTCTGAGTTCATCACTAAGAACGACCCCTGTTACTAGTCATGTGATCTATTATATATATTATTATATTATTATAAAACCATTGATTATAGGGGTTTTAAGGTTTCAGAAAAGCTTTTGCTACAGTATATTTTTATAATAACTTTAATAGAAAGGAAAAGTAAATGTGAGATTATTGGCTGCTCCTTAACCCTCTGTAACTGATATAAATGTAAAACACCAATTAAAACAATCTGTCACTATTGTATTCAGATTCTTACTAGGCCCGAATTCAAAGTAACATACTGTGTGGATCTAACAATCTAGACTGATGTCACCTCCTCAAATCAGCTGAAACTTCTTTTTACTGCTTTTGATTGATTGAACAGCTATTTGACAGTTAGAAATAATTGATGATGGGGTCTGAGCTCAAACAGGGAAGAGTAGAAGTCTAAATGACACATGACACAGACAAACGGTTCATCAGCTTTCACTGTTGTTAGCTGCGCAGGCTGTTTTGTTTTGCACCAGTGATACATTTAACTGGATGTACTTGTGAAATGCGCCTGATACAGTGTGACACAGTGTTATATTTTCCCAGTGCTTCACTGTTTTCATTGACTCTTTTTCAAGTGGTGGATGTGATAAGAAACTGCAGAGACAGTTAGTATAAAGGAGTCTACCTCTGAAACCACATGGTGCTGCTGAGTGAAGACTTCTTGGTTTATATGAGGCTGTAGAGAAAAAGTGCTGAATGCAAAGTAGCCAGCAGTGACCATCAGTTACATGAGGGGCATATATCGCTGTGAAGGAGGGCCCACAGTTAATGACAATAAACCTGGAGGCTGATAAATTTGTAGGAAAACTGCCCATTAAATGGCACCACGGTCCTACAACAAGACCATAACCCTAAGCAGAGTAAGCACAATTAAAACAACTGCCATCCATTAATTACATTACATTGCTGGCATCCTGTATGTATAGCAAGTTTAGTCTCATGAGTCACATTATCTAAAAAAAAAAAAAGAAGTGAAATACAGCTAATACTTCTGCATTACAGTGCTGTTTTTTTCCCACATATGCATCTACTATCAATTAACTAGTGTACTGAGTGAGAGTGAAAACACATTATTTGAACTAGAACGAGCTCTGACCCAGTTCAAGTCAGCCAGCGCGAGCCTCACAGCCATACCTCAACATAACTAAATACCTGCATTTGTGCACTACGTTCTGTGTACCCACAATCCCATATCCTCACGGACAAAATAGCTATCATGTGACTCATGCACCATGCATCTTGTAAGAGTAGGCTCTGTGGAGAGCTAACAAGTGGTGCTGCATGCGAGCACAATGGCTCTTAGAGGGAGTTAAATCCTCAGTAGCCCCCCCGTGGAGCCCAGACTGTTCTCAGCCATTCACCGCATCGTCTGCTGTCTCTGCAGCTTCATATGAAAGACTGGGGAGGCACTTCCTCTTTCACTGACATTAAAGTAAGAGGAGCAGAGCGGGGTGTCTGCATAAGTGTTCAGCATTTTCAATCTGAAGCTAATGGAAGCAAAGATGAGGTCAAATACAGTAGAAGTCAACTGAGACACAGCGGTGGTGAATAAGAGATGGGGGGGGCTTACTATTAACACATTTGGGTTTTGCTCTTGTCTTCTCTCCTCTCTGCCAAAGCCTCGACAACATGTCTGCGCAGCGTGCCCATTATATGAGGAGACATTTCCCACCTCCATCCCGAGGGGAGCCAGCGGAGGGGCAGGTATCAATAATTCACAGGTGAGATGAACACAAGTGCCACTCCTTTCATCCGTGCCTCACACAGGTTTAATGGACATGGCAATAATTCTCCTAAAAGGAGGCAATTATTTTGAGCACAGCTAGACGGCCGAATGCACTCGTGTAATCCAAAAAAAACACAGGTGTGTATTTTGGGTGAGATCAAGCCTCTGAGGACAGGGGCTGTACAGTGTTGATCCTCCCCGCTCTGTGACAAGATGAAAGAGACAAATAACATCAGTCACAGAGCAGCTATCACGGGCACTGTGAAGTGGAAATCGCAGGAAAGAGCCTAGTCCAAAGTAAAAGCCTGTTTTTGTTATTTCCTTACATTCTCTTTGAGACACTGTTAACAGATGCAGACGTTGCCTTTTTGTAAGCTTCCTTGCAATCAAAAAGACACTTGAAAGCCTTGTTTTGATGTTTGATTCAGACATATTTTGTCTTTGATCTGTTTGATAAACTCTACATTGTGAGTGGAAACTGTCACAATCCAAATAATGAGTCACAAAATTTCACATTGAGAGCAGTGGCTTTGAACCAAGTGTGGGCCTAGAATGTGGAGGGCGTTTTCTAATGGCAGCAAGCAGGGAGTGAAATCATGTTAGCTTTCTTTCTACATGAACACACTAACTGGCTAATGTCGTCCAAGAATAGGAGGGCACTCATAAAAATTCAACATGCAAACAATATGCGTAATCACAGCTCAGACTCTGATTTGAGAGTCCTAAACAGGACTGTTCATGAATACTCTAGTGACTCTGAGACGTCATGGCTGATTGGTGGCATGACTGCAGGGTGGAGGCCTGTGTGCATCTCTACTTAATTAATAGGGTAAATAAAACAGCTTGTGAAAATAGGGGTTAAGATTCTATCAGTGGAATTACTCAGCCATGTGGCCACAGGAAAAGAGATCGTCACAAGCTTATGGTGATTTCAGCAAATAATTAGTCTCAGCTAAGGCCCTCTATACACAGATTATTGCCTCAGTGCACAGACAGCTTGCTTAACTCACTTCCCAAATACCAGTTAACTAAATGGAAAAAGTAAGTGTGAAAAAAGTACTGCAGGGGACGTGTTTGATATTGTGTTTGCCCGCCGCGGTGAGCTCACAGATAAGGTGAGGTCTGTGTGTTACTATTTCCGATCCACGCTGACCATCATCCACCTACCCGCAGGTGATGTTTCTAATCATAATTGTATCAAAACGTCAGTGTTGCTAACAGCGCTGGAGGCGAGAGGCTGTAATGTGGCGAGTGTGCGGAGAAAAGAGGCGAGGTCACCATATCCTCTGAGTCGGGACAAGGGGTGGGACCTAACTTCAGGTGTTGATCTATGCTCTTGACTGCTTTAAAAACCCTGAAGTGCAGAGGGGGGAGGGGCAGACTGAGATAAATTGAAAGGCTGTCTCTCCTAAGGTTCCCCACAGTGTGCTGTGCTGGAGAGAAACGGCCTTGTCAGCGGCATAAATCAAGCCCAGCTGTGCAGCGTAGACCCAGGACGCTAAAACCTGCCGAGCACGATGCAACTGCAGTACGACTTCTCAGATACCTGCTTTATGCAGCGTCATGACTAAACGAATGTGCCTTCTATTTTCTTGTGAAGTTGTCAACATCAAGGTTAACGGTCAATTAGAGACC